TTTTTCTTTGTTAAGTCATGAAATATATTATGCCAGCCAGTGTATGCAGGAGGAAGGGTCCAGGTAACAGAAATCGTTAAAAATTTGCTTAAAAATCTGATGTCATCAAGTACAGACTAATTTAACAGATTATCTGCTCCCAAGTTTGGGATACAAATTTATAAAATAAGATTTGGCTCCTTACTCATCCCTTCTCATCTCTGTGGATGGTGTATTTTTGTGCTTCTCTAATTCACAAATGTCAAAGTGGTTACGTCTTGAAAATGTATCTGTAACTAATGACTTAATCAGCTATTTTGAGCAAAATATAAGCGACAAATGTATACCCAATCCAGAACTCTGCCCTCACTATATGAASAACTCAAAGGTAATGATCCACCTAAAAAATCTTGCACTCATGGAAGGTATTGGTGCACCACATAGAAGAACTAATGAATTAACCTTTTTCACAGCAATCATGTTATGGTTTGTAAAAGTACACCCAACCACAATGTAAATGTATTCCTTTTTCAGGATGAGTTGGAGGCAACCCAGGAGGGAGCAGTGGCTCTGGTGGCAGTGGTGGATGAAGCGGAGGTGCCTGCAGGAGTTCCCTTTGAAACTCACCATGTGTCGATCGTCCTTGAAGATCAGGTTGTAATGTCTCACAGATCTTGGACTGATTCACTRGTCATTTTGTRTGGACTGATCTATGCTCTACATTTGAGCTATCCTGAGAAGCTGAGTGGCTTCTTTGAGTTCATCCAGGTTGTCCTGTTAAATCTTGATGATGGGAGAAAGCAGCTCAAGCCTAAGTTACAGTCCTTGAGAAATGAGCTGGAGTAGGTTGTCAGTAGCTTTTACTGTTGAATGTCAGCATCGTTTTTTGCTTGCATGCCAAATACTGGTAGCTAATGACATGTATATACAGTAAACTACGGCACCTCTGATTTGTGTGTTAAAATAGGTGCTATTCTTGGTTCGCTTCTGTGGTGTTCTCATTTCTCTTCTTTACCACATGGCAATATGTTTAATTTTTATTTATATGCTTTTTGTATGAGCCTGATTTTCATTGTTATGTCCAGCATATGAATGTAAATGTATARYACATTTAATTCAACAGCTTTATTGTAAAACAATATTGGCACAGAAACCAAGGGTATCCAAATGTTTTCTTTTGTCAGCCACTGACACTTTGGGTGAACTATACCTTTAAACTGTTAACTTGAAATATGCCCTGCTTTATGTTATACAGTTGATKGTTAGTGCATAAGAAAGTGCTAAGTCTGCTTTAGCCTTTAAGGTTGCATATGTGAAAAATCTTCGAATTTCAGCAGCTGGTTGCACTGAGATGTGAACAAAAAATAAATTGCTGAAGCTGAGTCATGTGGGTGTTTTCTTTTTGAGTTAATAGAGCTGAACGGTTTAAGGCAATCAGTTTCATCAAATGAACTGAGTAGCCATAATAAAGTTTTAAGTTATCACAACTACAATGTAATAATTGTCTTAAATGGAAGACAACTAAGTAAATTTAACTTAAGTGGTAACATTTGTAAAAAGGAGGTTAATTTAAGTTAGTTTTACTTAATTCGCTAACATTCTGTCAACACATTGTAAATAATTTTGGGTAAATACTGCATATGAGTATCAAATACTGAATTGAATTAAGTTCAGGTAAGTTATAGGGATTGGCAATATTAACTTTATTTACCCAAGTTGCCTCATCAATAACTATTTGAGTTACTTTTGCTTAAATCAAATCATTGGTAAACCTTAAATTGTTTGAGTTAATCAACTTAAATGGTTCAAGGCAATCGGTTTCAGCAAACGGATTGAGTTGACCTAACTTGTCAGGTTTTACAGTGTGCTAGACTGTAGCAGAGCAATCAATAACAGACGGTAGAGACTCAGGTGGGGTAAGGTCACACTTGGTCAGAGCCAAAAAGGATCACCTGGGGATGTCAGGAGTTTGGCATGCTGCTCGCGTGTGGTTGAATGTGCGCGCTCTAACCTGCAGCGTAAACAGGATTGGGCTTTAAGAACTCAGAAATCGCACTCTCTTGAGGTTTCTTCTTTTCTCTGGTTCACAGTGCACAACGGGGTCAACTGTTACAGCCTGAGCTCTCTGACTGTGTTCAAAGAGAAGATGAAGAAGAGAGCAAACAAAAGGAGGGGAAAGAAATGGATAGAGACTCTGCAGGAAAGGAAAAAGGAGCCGTGTCCTGTGGCTGGCACCCAGACAGACTGGTTTGGGTGAGGAATGGTTTCCCAGAAGCACCTGAGAGAAGCAGACAGTGTCACTATGGCAACGCGACGGCCTGACAGACAGCATGTTCTGTCTCTGCTCTGACTAATGCCTGCTGCCAGGCTGGCACTCACCATGGCCAGACAAACAGACACACACACACAGTCTGACAGGGCAGTGAACTTAACTGGCACCTTTCATGTACTGATAAATGAAAAGACTTTGCAATAACCAGACAGGCCCTACATGCTGTTCTCCATAAAAATGTGACTAACACAAACAATAACAAGTTGTTTTATTCATGTATAATATACTTCTAAGAAAAGTCAGAAATACTTCAGATTTATCACTGATCCACATGAAGTACTCTTTCGTCGCCAATGTTGCGATTATGCTGCAATGATGGAGACCTTTAATGCTTGGAAAGTAATTGATTTAAATTTTAGAGAAGTGTAAAAACAAATGATTATTTAAGTCTCCATTTACACTTGGGAATAGAGATGTGCAGAGAAGAACAAAGAGTGTGGGGTTCAGTATCTTGGACACGTCAGCATTGGAATGGGGAAGATTGTGATCGAACCGCCAATCTTCCGGTTAGCGGACGACTTGCTCTACCCCCTGAGCCACAGTAGAAGTTTCACTTTACCTTTATTTGTGCATTACATTGTATTTTTAGCATGTTAATAAGTCCGTGGTGGTAAAAAGAGCATGAAAACATGTGAATGACACAAAAATGGGTCCCACTTTAAAAACTGTTAGTCTATAGTGCTTCTAAAAAACTTTTCTTCCTATATGTAGCAGGTTAAAGACTCTGTCAGTTTTATTTTTGTCATGCCTAATTGTTATTTTTCGAAATCAAGTTTGATCTGTTTTTTATCTCCCATCCTATCACCACATTTATTATGAAAACTAGCATCTCCATTTTAATTCAAAGCTAAAATGTACTTAAGTTTGAAGTTTCCTGAAAAGATCTGGATCATACTGCAAAGATACTTGTGAGACTGAGGGGCAGAGAGACAAATAAACCCAGATTAACATGATTGTATTCAGCCAGGTAAGGTCCTCCTGAGGCTCCGTAAACAACACATTTGTCAGATCCAACAGCAAAACACTCCCCCAGAGCCGTTGTGTGTTTTTGTGGAAATTTCATGCACATAGGCCACCACACAAACACAGTAGAACACGTACAAGCCGACAAATAAATACACATAAACCCACATACCCGCATTGAACAGATGGGGGTCTCTTCCATCTCTAGCTATGCGACTGGAGAGACAATTAACACCCTGTGTGCTCCCAGCACCAACAGATTGGCGGAGTCACCACTTGGCCAAAAACAGAAACGGAGACACGATGCAGGAGATGGCACATTTGGAAGTGTGAAGAAAGAAGGGGAAAAGAGCTTCTTTTTTTTTTTTTTATCTGACAAAGAGTCTTGGCAAATGGAGAGAAACACAGGTGACACAGACAAATAAAAAAAAAAAGACTGAACAACAATGAGAGACAGGCGACATGTAGAGAGGGATAGATAAACAGACGGACCACATGTGGTACTGGCAAGCTACCAGTTTCCAAAACTAGCCAACGAGCCAGTTCATCAGCTGTTCAAACAAACTGGCACCGTCAGTGAGCCGTCCAGACAATTACTCCAAGGGGGCCAAACATTAACATCAGATGTAGGCGAAAGCGAGGATGTACTGTAGGTGCAAATATACGACGATGAAGAGGAAAATCAAGGTGGCAACAATAAAACATCCCCAGAAAACACGAGGACAGAAAGGGAGGTATGTTAAAAGCCTGGGACAGAAACAGAGAGGAGGATGAAGAGAAGGAGGAGGAGGAGAAGATCCAGAAGAACAGAGGCACAAACAGTGCTGCTTCCTTCCAACAACCCTGAGATGAGTCATCATGAGTGGGCCGCCCGCTCGCCTGGCAAGTACTAAAATACACCTCATACAAAAAAGGCATCATATGCACACAGTCACACACAAACTTCAGGGACTCAAACATGCACAAAGGAGATGTCAAACACACTCATAACACACAAAACTGTCTACACACGAAAACAGAAATACACAGGAACAGAAGGAGAGAACAGACTTCAGACATGAACTATCATGATCACGACTGGGTCATCAGCAGTTGATCCTGTAGGATAACAACAGTCTTCACATGTGTGTCTGTGTATGTATCTACCTGGTGTCCGTGCAGTGTGTACAGCAGCTTGCCCTCTACAAGGTCCAGTATCTTCATGGTGGAATCGTTGGATGCAGTGATGAGGAAATTACCACTTGAGTGGAAAGACAAGCTGTTCACCACACCACTGTGCACTGGAAAAACACACACACACACAATCTATATGATATATATATAAAACCACATCAGACTCACATTTTGAGAAAGAAACCTAATCCTAAAATTTTAAACATCATTATTAATGACAATTGTTGCTGAATCATGGTCAGTTATATTTACTTGCGCTACTTTAAAAAAAAGTTTTCATTAATAATTGATTAATAACAAATATTAGTCTCAATTTACAGTTTTCAGTTTTTTAGTCCAGCAACACTCCAAAACATTTAGTAACATGGAATAATCAAATGTTTGGTATTTAAAAAAAGTTAGAATACATCAAAGTACTTAATAGATTTTTCATTGCAGCTCTAATCATTACACATTATAATTACAGGGAGTATTATGTCATGTAATCACTAATGAGGATCTGATGACTGGTCTGTTTTATTTTGCTCCCATTGTAAAGCACTCTGTAATGTGGATTTTGAAATGTGCAGTATCAAAAAGGTTATTATTGTTATTGTTGTTATTATCATCCCATAAATATCCTTTAAAATATTATGATATATAATATAGTGTTGGTCATATTCAACCTTAAGCTACTCAATTAATTCTCAGTAAGTAATTTGCTTCTGTTTCATGCTTTTTTCCAGGAAATCTGAGGACCAAGTCATATCCAGCCCTTCAGGCACTGAGAGGTGAATGCTTTGCTCAAGGACACAAAAGCAGCCAAGGCCAGATGCTTGCTAACATGGCTGCCCTGATCCCAGTGCTGCACATTCCGCAGCCCCAGTTGCTGTGTAACAAGAGAATGATTTATCATTAAGTTTACATTAGCACAAATTACAACAGCTATAGTAGCCTGCTGAAAGTGAGGAAAACTTCCCCAGACTTGAGGTTGTTCGAACATGTGGTGAACGACCTCTTGAAGGAGACAAAATAAATACATTCAACAAGCGACACGGTCCCTCTGCTGGCTGCAACGTGCCACGACAAAAAAAACCATCCTGGTTCCTCTAGTTGCAAGAAAAGGCTTAAAAGGCTGAAAAGTCTATGATATGACTAATTCTGTTGTGCCTTCACTTAATCTTACACTTACATTAGATATAATCTGTTTTATAATTTATGCTTTTTTTTTCAAAGTCAACTAACCCAAACCAGATGGAGGACAAAGAGGACTGAACACCACACAGACTATTTGTACATGACTCCTGAAAGAGGCCGTATTTCCAAGGCTTTTCCAATCAGGAGGTTTTAACCTTACATTATACACATTCATTTGCCATTACCACTATGAGTTATAATTCCCATGGGTATCCAACAGTAACCACACCACATCTAATCCACAGTTTAACACTTGAGGCTGGTTAAACAGATAATTAAGTACAGCATGTGAAGTGCAGCTCAGTGCAGGGGAGAGCAGAGGAAAAGCTCTTAACATCATGCTCCATCTCCTCAGACAGATGTGATTACGCATTATTAGATCTCGCTGCTTAAATCCATTTAAAAGAGCTGATTAGAACAATCAGGCCGGGCAGCAGGTTAGAAAAGGCATCAACATTTACCTCATTGAATATGCAGGACAAAATGAATTGATTGATTGATCGATTACCACTTTTAGTCGTGAGCTTTAATCTTTATTTTATCTTGCTGTTATTTCAGTTATTCATTTGCACATAATCCCCATTTCCAGTGGGGTTGGGAAAAGGAGACACCATCAAAGAGACATCTCCCTTCTTTACAGTGATAGTGATCCAGCAAATAATAGCAATCTGAAATAGGCACGTGTGGTTTCACTGATATATTGAGTATAAGGCAACAGAGTTAAATAAACTTGAGGTTGATGTGGTTTTTCATTGATCTATCTAATCCATCTAAAAAGTTTTAAAAATCTCTTGGTCTGTCTGTAGCTCGCATATCTCGAGAACGGTTCATCTTATCGGTTTCTCACCTGACATGTGTTTTGTTAAAGGTCAAAGAAAGTGCAGTGTGGAATTTGGTGCAATTTGGACAGGCACCATTGATTCTCCAGTGCAGGCCCTGTGTACTGAATGAAGCTTCACCAAACTGAATACACAGGTGAGCAGCTCTTTGTGCGGCAGAGGTATCAGGGTTCTCTGAAGTGAATCCAGCAGTCGGTCTTTATTTGTCACGGCTCAGTTACTGCAGTTTCAGAAAGAAAGCTGCAAGCAGCATAACCACAGCCCATTCCAAACAGACAGGTTTAAAAAAAGGGCACTAGCTAAAACAAATAATAACTTCAAATCAAAACTACAAAAATGCTTTGATTGGATGCTAACTGTGGTTTTGCTGTAGCAAAGGACTTCACTATATAAACTACATACCACCTAGATATGTTTTTTCTTCATTGTCTTTACCTTGGTAGTGTTGTAGCATCTTATGGGATCTGATGTCCCAAACCTTAACAGAGTTGTCAGTACTGGCAGCAGCAACGCAAGTTCCACCGGGATGGAAGTCCACATGGTTTGCATAACTTGAGGAAGAAAACACAAGATATAATGTAGTGAGGCATTTGGTCAAACTTTTACAGATCTAACATTAATCATTCCAGAAGGTTCATTCAACTAACGTAAACCATCTGTTCTGAAATGTTGATGGAAAACACCAGTAGAGGACATTTTGACTGGCAATATTTTTTAACCCAATTTAATTAAAACCAATACCAACAGAAATATGTTGTGAGTGATTCTGAGTATTTAATGAGGACGTTTGATCATGAGTCAACTCTGGTCCTTGTTTTTGCTAAAAAATGCAAGTCAATTTAAAATTACATTCCTGGTTGCAACTAAAACAGCAAATACTATGAAATCATCTAACATGATGGTCTCCCTAACCATCCACCACATCAAACATAGATGATCTACAGTACATAATATATTCCTATACATCCTGTTCATTTATAAACACAGAATATAAGGTCTCCTTGGTCTCTTTCGTTAGGGCATCTCTTTCACCCACACAGATACACATCAGCCTGTTCTTAAGTGCTCACCCGGCATGTTCATAGAAAGAATGAATACACTCTCTGCTGTTCTTGTCCCACAACTTAATAGTCTTGTCATCGCTGGATGACACAATCAAACGATCATCTGGAGAAAACCTGCAAGAAATACATTTTAGAAATCAAAAACTCACTTTCAGCTAAGTGTCCAGCTACAATTGTAGTAATTACATGTAGGCCTATTAACTTAAGATTTAAAACAATTCAGACATGTATAGAATCTTAATATATGTAAACTAAAGTCGAATTATCTGGAGCAGCAGTTGATGGCTAATTGTGAAAACAGTGTGTATGTGTGTTTGTATCCTACTTGGCACAGCGGACCCAGTTGATGTGCTGGTTGAGAGAAAACAGGAACTTTTGCCTGTGGACCGTCCACACTTTAATAGTCTTGTCGTCAGAGGCTGTCACCAAAGTCTGTCCATCACCAGAGAAGTTAACGCTGCGCACAGTAGCTGTGTGAGCCCTGAAAGCTGTCGACTCAGCTTTCCTGTGCACAAACACCAAAACAACATTAAAGTTTAAGACAACAATAAAAAGCAGTGAGTGTTCTGCAACGCGAGCCTTCCTCTGTGCTGGTAGAAGCAAGAGGGGAACTGTAATTTTGCAAGACCATCTCATTTTGTTGCTTTTATGAGTTAGAGGAATTGTCATTCGTGGCAGTTTTCTAACAGAAAAAGTTCAAAATAAAAACTTACCTGCTGGGCACCCAAAGACGTACGGTCTTGTCTCTGGAGGCGGACGCTACAAGGTGGCCAGAGGGAGAAAACTGAACAGAAGTCACAGCATCTTTGTGTCCATCAAAGCGATACGCTCGCATCTGAGGCTTCATGTTCCAGATCATCACACAGGAGTCCATGGAGCCTGTGGCTGTTGGAGCAGGAGGCACAGGTGAGGGAGCAGAACACAGTGTGTGACCAGAGAAAGCACTGAAGAAAATAAAACAAGAAGACGGAGGTAACAGTTACCAATCTGTTTCATGTTGCAGCTGAAGTCCACACTTGTCACATTGTCCCTGTGACCCTTGAAATGTCTCTCGAGTGTCGGATCCGACTATGTGGGAAAAGAGAGACAAAGAGACTGAAGTCGTGAGATATTAAAGCCAGACAGAGAAAGAAAGCTTTGTTCCAACTAAGTACTGACTTAAAGAGAGAGGTGGTGCTTCAAGCCTGTTTCAATAAAGGCCTTTTACATTTTTCAGACCACGTTGAGGGCCTGGACCTGGATTCTTCATGCCCTTATGTTTGGACATAAGTTTTCCTCTAATGTTTGTTGTTTAAAAAACTGACTTAGAAGGTTGAACAAACTTTTGCATGTGAAACAATCCATGTTTACATGTTTTAAAGTAATCTGGGCAGCTGTGGCTGAGGGGCTTGAGCAGTTGTCCTCCAACCAGAAGGTCAGCAGCTTGAATCCCAGCCTTTGTCAGATGCACTAATTGTAATTGTGAGTCACTTTGGATAAAAGCATCAGCTAAATGTAATGTAAGTTTGTAAAATAAAAAAGGACCAGTGCATAATTTTTCTTAGAAATGAGGAACATTTATAATTCATTTAAACTTTTGCATTCAAATGTATTGGCCATTTTCTGCTGCAGAGCATTGGTTGAAGCTGGGAAGCCGCGGGGGGGCGCTGTTTCGCAGTGTATTTGTTCTTATGCTCTATTAAAGGCTGTTTAAACGAAACCAACAACCTGGCTCTAATTTTCTACTGAAGCCAAAGTCAGTGTTTGATTATAAAGAAATAACATATTGTGATGTGTCGTTTTGTCTCCAGACCACGTGATGTTTTAGAAACGGTGCATAACAAGGACAACATATATAGAGATCAATGTGCCCTGCCAAATGCCTGTCAGGCACAATACAAAAAAAATATAAAAATTTCAACTGCTCCAAACGAACACCAACATCCAAATATACTATGTTTGTGACTTTATATGGCACAAATTTGGCTTCGTGTCTTTTATACCCTGCTTCAGAATACCTGCAGTGAAAACAGCCTGACAGGAAGTGTTGCCTGACAGACCAAACTGAGGGTACAAGGATATCAGAGTTGCCAAGGAGACGCGAGCTGTGTTGCTAGCAGGCTGCTAATCTCAGTTAGCTGTTAAACCCGGGACAAGAGGCTCTCTGTCGCCGCATGTTTTTGTGCGAAGGGACGCTTGTGACATGGCGGAGCTGCATGTTATCGGCCAGATCGTGGGGGCAAGTGGTTTCCCACAGAACAGCCTGTTTTGCAAATGGGGAGTTCACACGGGAGGAGCATGGCGGCTTCTGTCCGGGCTGAAGGAGGGTCAGACCCAGGTGGATGTCCCCCAAACCGGAGACATGGCGTACTGGAGCCACCCGATCGATCTGCACTACGCGACCAAGGGAATCCAAGGCTGGCCGAAGGTTCACCTCCAGGTGTGGCACCAGGACTCGTTCGGACGCTGCCAGTTGTTCGGGTACGGATACTGCCACGTCCCGTCCAGCCCCGGACACCACCGGGTCAGCTGTGTGACCTGGAGGCCGCTCGGCTCCTGGCAGGAGCAGGTCGCACAAATGTTCGTGGGCGGAGGAGCCCAGCTCCGCAGTCCGGAGCTCGTGTACAGCGGAGCGGATAGATACAGACTGCACACCGAAGCCATGGGGACGGTGGAGCTGGAGCTCGGAGTCATCATGAGACACTTTGACAAATATGGCGTCGAGAGTTAATGCAGTGAAATGAAAGGGACCCTCGGAGAGTTGTTATGAACTGAGTTGAGAAGGGAGAGGGCCATGTTGTTTATATCAGAGTTTTGTACTGTTTTCTAAAATGCTTTTGTGTTTTTATATTCCAAAACATTAAATACAACTATTGTAAACCACCAACTTGATTCCACGTTCATATCATTTCAGTCCATTACCTAAAAATAACTATCATACCACTAGATGACCAGAATGAAGTGCAATGATCAATCATTCCACAGAAAATAAAAGCAATTATACTGATGATTGAATTCTGATCTAAATGCATTTCTAAAATGAATGAAAAAAGTATTTAATGTTTTTATGTTCTTAGAAATGAGAAGTAAATGCTTTTTATAACACATCACATTTAACTTTACACATTTGGATTCTGTGGGAAATTAAAACAAGTTTTTCATTATTTGTGAGCATTACAAAACAATTGATCAATATAAAAAAAACATTTTGATCGTAAATTACACTTGGACCTTGACAAACTGAAGCAAACATACGTTATGGAGACAACTGTTTAAACCTGGTAACAATCTGATCTAAGCTGATTACAGTGTTGATTAATTTGCACAAAGATAATCTTCATGGACAACAGGTTTTCTGCTGCAGTTAGCTGGTTCTTTAAAGTTGTTTCCTACAGTTTGTTAAACACAATCTTATGTCTTTCCCTTTTTTTCAGATTGTATTTATCTGTATCTACTTTTGCACTGACAACTTGGCAGTAGCAGGTGTATGTGCTTCCAAGGGCTGGAAACGCTCCATCAGTAAAAAAAGACTTAACTGATCAGCATACATGACGTGTGAGACTTTTCTCAAAAGCACAATTTATGAAATAACGTTTGAACATACAACCTGTGTGAAATTCACAACTACACAAGCAGTGTTTTATTAAATGCGTCAACTGCAGTGAATGTGATGCTGAAAAGTAGAAATTCACTTGTGACACAGTAGACAAAGTTTTTCATGAAACAAAGGACTGATTTCTGTGACAGTTCTGTTGCTCAGCACCTGCACATGGTTTTGTTCAGTTCGTCTATGATTCATGTGGAGCATTTATGGAAACTGTATGAAAACTTATAACATGATTATTAATATGCAATCAACTCCATAGACACATCATCAACAACAACCTCATTTCTAACAAACATTGCACCCAAGAGTGATTATAGGTCCATTTATAATGTACCTAATAGAAAGGCTCCTAATATGTGATGCTTTTCATCTGAACAGGATTTGTGTTTGCAGTAGAGGTTGATTCAAACTGTTTCGGTTGTTTTTGTTTTGAATGGCAAGTTCTGAATTTCACAGCTGGACTCTATTTGTGTTTTTGTTGTTCAACAGAAAAGAAACTGCAGATCCGGGAAAAAGATAAATAATTGTAATTTCTATCATTGCTATAATATAATAGAATGATCATATATGATATAATCAGTCTATTAGTGAATAACCGAGGCTAGCACTCAGGAAGATCATGCTGAACAGGAAGCTCACATATGTATATGAACTCTCAGTGATTTTAACTCTTCATTAGAACTGAAGTAGTGAAACTACCGGTAACAAACCAGCTTCAGCTCCGTGGACACACTCACCGTCATGTTTCCTGCAGACAGACCCGGAGAGACAGCCTCTTGTTGTTTCCTCCGATCGTCACAACCGAAATTTAACGGCGTCCCACTTCGTTAACGCTAAAGAACGAGAGCAGCGCTAATGTAAGCTAACTGCTAACAGCTAACAGCTAGCCGCCGACAACACAGTTCAGTTTACGCGCCGCGATCACGCGCTGAGCAGCTGACAGACTTCTTAAAGGGGACGCTGCACCTTTAGCGTCCCCGACGACAGAAACAACGCATGTCAACTGTGTACACGCGTGGTGGCACGAAGATGCTCCACGGCCATTAAAGAGATGATCGAGTCAGTCTATCGATCTAGATAATCGATTAAAGTTCCTCGTGCAGGCCATTTTTTCAAAGTGCAGTGACAAACTCTCACCGCCAGATGTCAGGAGTGCCCTGACGTCAGGCTCTTGGTTGGGAAAGTTCCAGTAACATCATGTCAAACTGACAGTGACCTTTCCTTTGTACTGTTTGCTTTGATTCTAGTATTGCACAGCTGATATGTTTATCTGGATCAAAGTACTCGTGTGTTTTTTCAACTTTGCTTTAACTTTAACATCTTGTCCAGGGGCCGAGGGTTTGACCTTCACCGCCCCTGTTTGGATATGGTGCAGTGCGTGTAGCAACTGGTCTCCGGTAGAAATTAACAGGGGCAACGTGAGAATGCTTGCTACTTGCCCCCGAAGGCCGAAAGAAGGCAAAACCAGGGACAACCTACAAAAGTAGGGAATTGACAGGGAAGTGCTCAGTATTCCTCTGGCGAGACTCCCTGATCCTCTGTGGGTGCCCACTGGGTCCCATATTTGGCCCTAAAGGAGACATATAACAGTGCCCTATAATGGATACGGCCCTGGTGCGATAAGATATGACGATGATGCATTAGTATTTTCTCCACAGTCCCTATAAGTTCATCCTCTGCTGAAAGATTACATTCCAGCAATTCAGCATTCATATAGAATACATACATAGAAAGGTAAGACACAAAAAATATTAGCAGCTGAGCCCCAATGAAATCCCTATCCCTCACACTCTTTGTGCATTTGTATAGTTTTCTATGCTTGAAAACCTCCCACACCAGAATTGCTGTGAGGTTGCATGGTTAATACATATACTTTGGAAATCACACCCTACATACAGTCGGCTTCAACATCAGTTAGTTGGATTTCTCATTTCATGCTGATATTTTGCTCTCATTGTAAACTTTGAATTTAAAAATAATTTATTATTACTTTACAGGAGTTACACAATGTTTTCACAAGTTAACTAGCTGCGTGTCCAATGTCAACCCCTTTCTTTAACTAAATCCCCTGTGGGCCTTTTCCATTGTGAGAATGTTATGTCACATATCCAGCAGTTCACCCACCACAAATACGTCAACCTCCTTCGCTCGTATTTGTGTATTATGACAGACTGTGGGCTAACAGGTTGTTTTCATGTTATCTTCACACTAACCCATATCTGATTTTAGGATAGATTTACAGAAACAAGCTGCATCTGCTATCAATCTAAAAAACTCATTCTACCTTTTAACATATTTCCTTCAGAGTACGTGAGGCATTCAGCAAATTATGTTAACCAAACCTACCGGACTTGTTCTGATCTAATGAGTCGTACAACTTTTTGTTCACATAATTTTCTATGAATCATAAGTACTTCCTTACCCTAATCTCCATTGAAAATATTCCCTGTTTGGTGAAGGTGTTTATTAATTCAACCCAACTGTCAGACATTTTAAAACATATAATCACAACCGGTTTTGGCTTTAATCAATACAATTGCCTGGAAGAAAAACTATTATAATAATTAAAAGAAAAGTTATAACAGCCTCACACAGATAATTGAAATGGACAGAGGACGCTTTACACTCTGCCTGAGCCATGTCTTTACGTTCTGTTGTTTCATCGTTACAGTCATAGTTAAGCAGTATAAATACTTTTGATACACTACAGTAGAAAACAACATTGTGCAATACAACGCTGCTATACACAGTTGTTATACCGTACCTGGTGGTACCTGGTCTCGTGAGATTTGCAGAACGTGATTTGAATATCAGGCTGTTGTTGTTGTTATCATCACGTTCATGTCAATAAACATGAAGTGAAACTTTCAAAATGATTCGAGTCAATAAATCAACACCTGTTATATGAAAATATTTTTTATTGATGACTATAAATAATTAATTTCCAGTAGATGATGAATGGAATGAGGAAGAGCAGGAGGAGGGAGGAAGAGCAGATAAAGGAACTGGAATCTTGTCAGCCACAATTTAATGATTCACATTCTGCGAACACACCCAGATCTCAGCTTTGCTCCATATTATGATGTAGAGCAAAGCTAAATGAATTCAGGTCAAAATATTTTTATGAAACACAAAGTTGTCAGAAATTAACACCAATGGAGTCCAGTATCAACTATGATGGGTCCTCATTCCCCCATCTCGTGGACTTGTCTTGTAGCAGGACCCTGTGTCAACATCTTGTTTTAAATGGCCAGAGTGTAGGATATAGGCCACAAACCTAAAATAATTTAATCAATACATGCTCCCTCAAGGTTTTCTACCATTGATGATATACAACTGTACGTCTCGATAACCTTAGACAACATTAGACAAGCAATCGATCTTGAAAAAAAATGAAATTCTGATAGCATGGCCAAACGTAGTAAGGCAGGAGATTGTACACGTTATCATCTTTCTCTCTTGAGCACAGACTCTCACCCAATGTTGCCTGGGATCATCAGTCCCTGGTGTTATTTTGCTACAGAAGACAAAATGACATTAAAATAGAAGCTGCGACTGAGGAAATGTTATTCACTGGTAGTTCTTCAAACAGCAACTCATCTCACTCCGTAATAATTAGTGTGAAACCTTGTTTGTCAGATGAGTGTCTGCTGATGACAGCATGTTGGGGATGAGGTGTGTTGGATTCTAACAAAACAAATTGTGACTCACACCCATGGTGGTTTCTTGTGGAAAAGTACAGATCTGCCATGTTTGACAGCTGCTTTGTCTCTAACAATAGATTTGGATAATGAATAAGTTACGTGAGAAAATCATTCCACAACATCCGTCTTCCTCGTTTGCTCAAAGGCACGCTGTCAGCTGCTTTAGAGCCTGACAAACGCAAAGAGGGTATTTCACTCCATTGTTCCACATGTTAAATCATGAGTGTCAGTCTACAAGCACAACAATGTGATCTATTTTAGCTTCATTTTTCAGATACAAAAGTAAAACAACTCAAGAATGAGGAAATGTCAACACTCACAGACGCACTAAACTGCTCCTGACCTGCACTGTCACAACACGGTTTTCTTCAGTAGTTGTGCACAAAAGGAAATAACTTGAAAATACAATATATAATGTGGGTATTCCCTACAGACACACAGCACACCTGCTCAGTGCATGACCTTCTATAACTGTGGTTGCAGTGTCAAAAACACAGTTTGCATTGTCTAAGTTAGGAAATAATGTTTTCTTTTTCTTTTTCCGGGCTCATGAAATTCAAACCGAGCTTTTTGTTTGAAGGATGTGTGACTCCAACAAGCAATAAGGTGAACAATTGTAACATTTTTGAAATTCAAGAAAACTAGGAAGAAAAGGAGCCTCACTTTTGTTACCAGTGTTAAGTGATAATTACACAGGATCATCCCCTCTTCCATGAAACTTGGTGGATGAATGCAGTATGAGTCGGGGACGTCATGGATCTTGATGAAGAAAATCGGGCATGTTTAGGGGACTGATATTTACGATATTCATGTGTGTAGATCCAAATAAAAATCTGGAACTAGTGAATTTTAATGTGCTTTTGATCCTGTTTTAGTGATTCTGCTTTATGAAAGTGAGGAGAAAAAAAATCTATGACAAACAACCACAAAATAGGATCTATCTTTGTCTCTAAAACACATCAGCTGCAGCAGAGTCACACTGAATCTTTTCTGAACTTTGAAGCACAGTTATATTAAGTTAGCATAATTAGCTTCTTAACATAATTGAAAAATGATAATGTTAAATTTACAGAACTGAATTATGATTTGTTCTTTGAAGGTACATTTTGCAGTTTCTCATTTCCCACACTGAGAGCTGATGAAAGAAGAAAATACTGGCAGTGGGAACGTTAAACGTGACAATTAAAGTGCAGCATGAGGGCGTCACCACCTTACCAGGCAGGCATAGTTTCATGTCTGTTTTCCAGGAAGGGTGTCTTCTTATCTTTGTTAAGACTTCTGTGAAGGAATGGCGGAAGAACAGTTGGATACATGGAAAACAAAGCAGTAAAATAAAGTCATTCAATGATCCAACACACTCATCTGTGGCCTTGTTTGTTATAGGAGCAAAGGTTCAGCGTCTCTTGCCAGATACCCTTTTATCTGAAACAAGTTGGAACACGGAGAAGCAGTCATGAGAACAAAGTCATGACAGTGTTATCACAGGACCAACACAGACCACACTGCCCCTAAAAGGGCATTTTGTGAAATCAAACTCCTCTTGTTTAGCTGTAGTGGCATTACTTGCGTGACAGATTTGTTCAATTAACTGATTTTTATCAGCAGGGCTATAATAAAACACAGGAAGACCGGTATGTTGCTTGGCCTGACTTTATCCAAGCTTCGGCTATTGGAGTCACGCACATGCAAGTACACTGTACTCCTGCTCTTTATGCCACTGAGAACACACAATAGAATACACAACTTGTGTTTGTGTTTGTTTTACCACTTTACTGTGTGTAATAGGAGAAATGTCTTGACTCTGACATTTCTCTTAAATTTTCAAGGTTTAAGATTTTAAAGCGTAAAATGTCAAATTCCATAATTACTATTACTTACTTATTATTAGTTCCAAAACTTTTTATGTGCATGAGTAAATACTATTGCCTTTTGTTAACCAAAATACAATGAACTGGAATTGAACACCAGAAGTCTGCGGAGGAAGGTGTGGACTAAATACTGACAAGTTACCAGCACTGTGGAGGTGTGGCCTTTACCAGAGTTATATTACTTTTACACATCCTTGTTCCTGATGTGAAACAAGTCTGACTCAGGTTCACCAGGGTCAGACTTGTTTAACCAAACAGGAAGTATATCAAAATACTACAACAACAACTACTACCATTATGATTAATAACACGAAATGACTAACATACAATTTCACTTTTACAAAACTCAAGGGTAAACTTTTAAAAAAAGGTTTTCCTACCTGCAATGACCACTAATGCTACGATAATAATGACAGATTGCTTAGTACTGGAAAATATTCAAGTTTTTCGAGTTTTTCTTTTTCTCAGGTTCGCTCTGTTTTGCCCTCATCTGTAACATGACCTTGTGTGTCTGTAGAGGTGTTTCTAAACCAGGACAGTGGACGTGAAAGGCCACAGAGGGAGAGGAATGTCCAGCTGGTGATTCTGGACACTGGCCATCTATGTCCATATCTGTGAGCGAGGAATGAGGCCAGCTTCAATCTCAAACCCCTAAATCTCATGCTCTGTGACAGATTATCAACATAAAAGGGGAGTTCTGATATTTTTTTATAATAATCTTTAATAAGTTGACATGCAAGAACTTTTGATTTGTATACTAGACATAGACATATAATATAATCAACATATGATCCAACATGTTCAGAGTTTGCCAACTTGAACGCCTGCTTAGCCCCAACAGTCAATTCCACATCAAAACTATCATGTTAATTTGGACATTGCTCCAAGAAACCACATTTACATCTGCTATATTTGGATTTTTATTTGGATCTGCACTTAATTTGACAGTCCCACATTTGATCAGTCCCCTAAATGTGTCTGATTTTTAAAATAAAAAAACAATGTCCCATGTAGAAAAATTCTAATCTGAATCCACGCCAAATTGTTATGGATTATTTTCTGACCCATACGGGTCTTCCACAGAAAATCTCAATTTTCCTGTACTATGTACTGAATTATATAGTTCTCTCTCATTTAAACTTGAGGAAGGACGTTGTCAACTGACCAGAAGATCTCCTGCTCCTCCAGTCTGCATTCTGAAGTGTCCTTGGACAAGATATTATATCCCAAATTGCCCCTGACTGTTGTGTTTACAGTGTATAGATGGTGTGCTGCATACAGAAGTGCTGTGTGAATGTGTGCATGAATGTGACTTGTACTATAAAACTATTTGATATACATAAACACAGTCCAATTTACATTTCATTTTAATTGAGGACCTGTCAGTTGAAGCATATAATTCTTCTTTGAATTAATGATCCAGTTGTCAGTGAACTTTGGAGAAGGCCTCACTTAATAAGTGAAACAGATAATTCTCATTCATTCCTCAATCAATGCACTCAGGGTGGGGTTCATTGAGCAGCCAGAATTCCGAGTTTCATTCCTCTGGGGTCTCATGCTAAAGAGGAGACCTCTGCCGCCATAAACAAAAAGACCTGCAGTAAATAAACAAAGCTTATCATTGTAGCTGTGTGTTGCACACATACAGTCCATGGCTGCACCCAGTAAATACTACATGTGGCACGCACTTGGTATCAGTTGTTTGACGAGTAAGCAATGATGAAACGAGGCTATAAAATAAGAATGTCTGATGTGGCTGTAACTTGCTTTTATCATCTAGTGCATCAAACTTTCTGGTTTCCTTAACAGGAAGTCTTGATTACAGCTCTCCTGGGGTTTTTTCATTCTTTGCAGCAGTGTTTCAAAAAACAATTGTGCAACCGTCAGTGCAATAACCGCTTGTCCTTGTTGGTCAATGTCAACACATTTGCACTACAAGGACAAATTATTGAGTGTTTTTAGTTTTACTCTGGGCTTCCATGTCATTTCCTTACACTGAAGTCTAATTTGTATGTATTTTGTTGATTATTTGATAATCAGCCAATTTGCATAAATAAGCATTTAATGGCCTACATCAGTGTATATAACTCATTGTGTGTGTCACCACAATGCACCTATTCATGGCTGATCAGAGTTCAGATTTGAATATAATTGGAGTTTGTGCTGTATACAGGCACTGTTTGGTCTGATAATGATCTTCTATAGCTCATAAACTGTATAGCACATTATTTTTGAACTCATACACAGTTGGTCACTGTGCAAAAGTGAGAATGTTAAGATTCGAATGGTTTCTGTGCTGTATGTACGTGGTGCATTACAAACACAATCAGACTCCCTGGGCCTCCATAGAAACACATTATTTCCACAACTTTTGTCCCAACAGTCTTCGTGTATCCTTCTGGTACATTTTCTACTATGCACATGACTGCACGCATTAGGTGCAGACACATGCCCTCCTCACCTTCCAAACTAATCAGTCACATGGTAGCTTTCCAGGAGGCCTCAAGGACCTGCAGTTATCTGGACCCTGACAGCTGCACTGAGGCAGATAAAGAGAGATGAGGTCAGTGCCATAGACAACTGAAGCACGAGACCGGATAGAATTACCACTCCTATTCAAATAAGACCTAGAGCATATAACCAGCAGTATATTAATTCATCAGTCATATCCATTTAAATAAAGCCATGGAGGTACTTTATTAAATCATTGAAATATGTTGTTTACCCTCTGCATCACTGTCTTTTTGGATTTGATGTTATTATGTATTGTCTGTTTGCAGCTATTTTTAAGCTATCAAATGTAGAGCTGAGGTTACTGACCTCAATAAAGTATAACACCTCCGCTCTACTTCTTTGAATTCCAGGGGGAACTCCGAGGGAAGAGACGCTCATGTTACATTTCAAACTCAATTCATTTGGAAAGATGACTCTGCAATCCTCATAAGGAATGTATTGTTTTCCAAACCCAGCTGGGACCAGGGCGACTCCGTGAAAATTACTGAGGAATGTTTAAATCCTTGAGATAAAAAAATGTAATTCTTTTTTCATCAGATTCATACAATACCAGAGAACTACAAAGACACACGATGACAAGGATAGAGACAGATAATTCCTAAGTTTAATGTATTGTGTATTCATAATGTGTGTGTGTGTATCTGCTAAACGTACAGTGGAGCCTAGTTAAATGGCATCTGTTTGTCACTGTGTAATGAGGAAGTGACCTTTGTAGAAGAGACACAAATCTTTCAATCAGTCGAGCTGCACGGTTCATTTCTCGGTAGCCAGGGGCTGTTTCCTCCTGCCTGCAACACAGGAGAGGCAACAGGCTACAATTCAAAATGTAGATTTTTGTCAGTCACATTGCCAGACCAGAACAGTTGGCTCCTGAGGCCAGTTCCTGCTCTGCTGCAAATTAACAAAGACGCTTCAACCACACTGTCTCTCAGAAAACGTTGATTCAGTTTGGTAACAGTTCTAGAATAACACTCAGTAATTGTACCTCTACCAAAAAAATAAAGAAACCGTGGACCCACACCATCCAAACTGGTCATCTTCAAACACTCCTTAAAATTCCATTGAAATCAATAGTTTTTATTTTTGCGTAATCCTGTTTACCAACAATATATAAACCAAACAACAAACCTTAACACTCAGCAGAGACATATAGAGACATATTAGCCAAAGAGACCCTTTGAATTCAATCTAGTTCTTTCATCAAGATCCATGAATTATTCTCAGAAAAATTAGTGAAAATGTTGGAATATTAAAGAAAATGAAATATTACCAGTCTCCTGCCACCTAATCCAGATGCGCACCAAAATATAATGGGTTCTTTGATGATGTACCACATCGATCCTTCTGTCCAGTAGTTTTTGTGTAATTTTACCTACAGACAAACCAACAAACAAATGGACAGCGGTGAAAATGGGATTATTATAAAGGATTGTGAAGGATCCTCACCACCAGATCAATGGACAGTTCTTTGTAAGAGCTTTTCTAGTTGGTGACGTTCAGTACAGTTTTGCCATTCACCCATTCACTCATACAGTGCATCTACGTGCAACACTTTATCATGTATACACCGGGGTTCAGTATGCAGACTGGGACTGGGATCAAACTGCTGACCTCCTGGTTGGTGGATGACCCGTTCTACCTCCTGAACCACAGCCACAAACACATTTTTAAGATATTTAATATTACTTTCACTAATGTTTATTGCACAAACAAACAAATATTTTATGGAGAATGCATGTATAATTAAATGTTTGGAATCTTATTTTTAAATGCTGGCACTAGACACGTGGGTTTATTTTTATGTATCCATGTGTGAAGGAGGAGTGGTGTGAGTCACATGGTTGAGAACATAAAAATAGCTGAGGAGTCAATTAACCAGAAGATATTGAGATACTGTGTTAGTGCGGCTCTACTGTACTTAGTCACACTGCTGTATTTCAAAATTACAACTGTGACAGGAGTGAATCTGAATATTTATACAACATTACTATTGAACCAGAGAGAAGAATGAGGTCTTCATAGTTTCCCTCGTTGTTGTGTTTGCATGTTACTTTGATATGAAACGTATTTGTGTAGTAGTCTGCTTTATAAATAAAAGAATTATTATAATTATAAAATTCTACAATGTAATGATGCAGGTGAGGCATCATCTTCCTTTGTTATTACACTATAATAAAAATCCCATTAAATGTTGTGATGTTACAGACAGGTCATGCAAGAGTCAACCTGAAAGCAGAAGTCACCTAATTTACACAAAGTAGTCTTACTTCTGTTTTCACAGTAGCTCTGACTCTCTGTGATGCAACTGTGGCTTTTCAACACCTGAACTTCATTCTTGGGAAACTGGAATATGCAAACTCTACAACAGCGTCTCATCTGAATGAATAAGAGCTGTTAAAAGCGAGAGACAAACAATTGCAATTGGTCTGTGTGGTGAGGGACGGGGAGGCTGGTGTGGTTTTATGTCCAAACACATCGATGGTGAACATAAGACCCCTGAGTCGCTGCGAGGCTTAAGTGGATCTGGAGGATGTGCGTTTGCTTTGCTGTTACCAGTGCAACCTTTTATTCAGTGGATCTGGGTCATATTAAGTGACATAGCTGCATTTATGTCACTCCTGTCTTAATTTACAGGTCGGTGGGTTAGTAGGTCTCCCTCAGACAGGTCATTTCACTAGATAGAAAAAAATGCACAAACACTGCGTTTTACTCAGAGAAATGATTCTTTTAAACTATTATAACCCGTCTGTTCTGGATTAATATTGTGTTGTGTTTCCGTAGTATATAAAACATATATCTAAAAATACTTTACATCTATATTATACTAATTTGTTCTGAGAGGGGCCAGTCCCATTCAAACCTAAAGTTGGTTTGCCGTAATATGCAAGCCTCTTTCATTACAGTTCCTGATGGGTATCAGAAATTTTATTACCAAATGGACACAGTGCAAATTTGTTACAAACAGTATTTTTTTTTTTAGCAAACACTCTTTTTTTAAATAAATTTCCCACAAACAAAAGTAGGCCAGGGGGTCGAAATAAATAGGTCACGAACATCAGTGACAAAGATTTTGTCGTTTGTGTTGAATCAGACAAATTGTCGTGTCCTATTTTTCTGTAAGTGGTCTTTCTGTCAGCATCAGTAACTTTGTCTACCTTGTTGTGACGTGATCATAACATCATTAACCCAGTATAGAGAAGATAATTACATCAATGATCTTCACTCATCTGAACACATTTTATAATAAGCCTCATCTATGTTACCATTCAACATTAGAAATACAAAAACATCGACCAGTGGTAGCATTAAGAACTTAAAGGAGAAGTTCGGTTTTTTTCAACCTGGTCCTTATTTCCAGCATATGGTTTGTAGATCTACTCACCCATAAAGGTTTGGAGTAACTTGGAGTCCTTCGGACGCTTTTAGATCCACATGCGATCGGCGTATATCCATACAACGCAAGTGATTGGGGCATCCACAATACAGCCTCTAAATAACGCATCATCTGCCGCGAAACTCTTTATTTACTATGAATCTCCAGCACTAGTCGCCTGTGAGTCTCGCCAGCCTCGGGGCTAGCGTTAGCTTAGCGAGTTGCTTTGTTTACATCCTGGGCTTTCACTGGGGTGACGTCACCGAGGCGCGCAGCCGCAGATCAGGTGACGATCAGCTGTGTTTGTTTACACGGAGTTTGCTGATGCTAGTTTTGCGCAACATGGCAGAATACTTATCAGGTGCTTTGCAGTACAGTATTCTGTTAAAGCAGCTGTGTCCTGGTGCTCGGGCGTATTCACCCGGTTAAAGGCTAGCTAACTTCAGCGGGCTAACGAGCAGCCTCGGAGCTAGCGTTAGCTTAGCGAACCGATTTGTTGATTAAACAGGAAGACAACTCGCTCTCGGTTCGCTAAGCTAACGCTAGCTCCGAGGCTGGCGAGACTCACAGGGGACTAGTGCTGGCGATTCATAGTCATTAAAGAGTTTCACAGCAGATAATGCGTTATTTAGAGGCTGTATTGTGGATGCCCCGAACACTTGCGTTGTATGGATATACGCCGATCGCGTGTGGATCTAAAAGCGTCCGAAGGACTCCATGTTACTCCAAACATAAGGACCAGGTTGAAAAAAACCGAACTTCCCCTTTAAGACAGTAGCACATACAGGAGATATTCACCATCTTGTCCTATATTCTTTTCATGGTTCCTCGTCAACTCTGCCAGGTTACATTTGCTTTTTAAAAGAAAAGACATCACACAGAGAATCTTTCTTCTCATATTTTATTTGGAGTATATAGAACATCTGAACATAGAATATCTTAAATAATATGTGTAGGAGGACTTACCAAAGATAGTTAATACATTCTATGACAGTGATAAAGGAATGGGTATTGTGTGTATATGTGCTGTCTCCAGCCAGCTGTGGTGAGCAGGGTTATGCGCAGGCCGAGATAGGGTGGCTGAGGCCACTGAAGTAAGACTTCTCTCGCTCGCTCATAACCTCAAAGTGCAGCGGCTGCTGACAGAACGTACACTCTGCCGAGGAGTGGGGCTTCAACTGCAGACCCGCCTCCTTCCATGTGTGCACCAGCCTCTCTGAGGAGGGGAGACAGAGAAGAAGGTTAATTTAACATTTACTAAGATAAAGCTACAGACAGCTACAGTTACTTCTATTGAAAGGTGCACTGTTTAAACAGGACCATCATTTAAAAGCAGACATAATGCCATTGTAAATTAGCATGTGGTTAGATTTCTCTGAACGTGTTTGATATTAATAAGACGAGAACACCATCTTACCAACAAAGTATTTCATCATCTCAGGAGTATGGTGAGGGGTTGGCGCGATACGCAAGAGCTCGTCTCCCCTGGCAACGGTGGGATAGTTGATGGCCTGCACGTAGATGTTGTGACGACTCATCATGATGTCACACACTTCTGTATTTTTCTCTGCATCTGACACCTGAAAATTACAATAAAACAAATCGAATGATTAGGGTGGAGGCAATTGGAAGACAAATATAATCTTCCTAATTTTTGATTTATTAATCTTTGTCTACAAGCTCAATTGGGCTCTAGATTTAGAATTACCCGAACGGGGATGATGTGGCTGGGACAGTGCACCACAGGCAGCCCTGAGTCCATCAGCATCTGTCTGAGCAGCTTGACGTTGCGCTGGTGTTTGCGTCTCAGAGTGCGACCCTCTTCCCCTTTGAGGACCTGGATGGACTGTCGGGCTCCCGCTAACAGCATCGGAGGCAGAGAGGTGGTGAAGATGAAACCAGCGGCGTAGGAACGCACCATGTCAACCAGAGCGGAGGTACTTGCGATGTAGCCGCCAACACAGCCAAAAGCCTTGCCTGGAAGAGGACGTGACATAGAGGTGGTTATCATTTCATTCTAATTGATGGAACAGCACTACAAACATTGGTTTCTATCCCTCGAACTACGATTCTTGAAGAGGTCACTGTAGTGGTCCAACCTCCCACTCTGATCCTACACTAGATCTGTGAAATGGCTGCTGCAGAAGTACAAGAGCTGTGGAGCTCTCAGTCAGAAATAATTGTCCCCTCAGCTTGAAAGACACACAGAGACAGCGGGTAATTCAATAAGTGAACAACAAAAGCCCACAGTCTCCTAGCAACGACAGAGCTGCTCCAGCTTCTTTGAGCCCTCTGGCATAATGTGTGACACAGCTAAAGCCTGCAACAGCGTCGCAACAAATGAGGGAACTATCAACTGGATTTCTCAGAGCATTTGTCTTTGGTTCATAAAAAATAGAGAAAACTTCAAAACCTAGATCATGACACGTTCACTGACACAACTAGTAATGTTTCTGTAACATTTAGTTCGGCTTGACGGTCAAAAAGATTCATATAATACCATGAGTTATCTATTTGAGATTAAATGCTGACCAAGTGTCCCTGAGACGATATCCATCTTGTGCATGACACCATCTCTGTCTCCGATGCCCCCGCCTCTGGCGCCATACAGGCCCACAGCGTGAACCTCATCTACGAACGTGATGGCACCAAACTCGTGGGCCACGTCGCACATCTCCTCCAGCGGACACACAGCACCTGTGTTACGAGAGAGACGGTTAGAGAGAAAAGTTACAAAAAGTAAAATCCCATCTCTTACATTTATCAACAACCAGGTTTTATTGACAAAATGTGTGGGTCAACATCTGTAACTCACCGTCCATGGAGTGGACGGTCTCAAAGGCTACGATCTTCGGTTTGTTGGGATCTCCCTTCTGCAGGAGCTCTCGCAGATGGGCAACATCATTGTGGCGGAAAATAAACTTCTTAGCACCACTGTTCCTGATACCCTGGATCATTGAGGCATGGTTGCCTGCATCTGAGTAGATCTCACAACCTAAAATAGTTCAAAGTTGAGAGAACTGGTGAGAATGGGAAATGTTTTCAAAGGGTTTGCATTAATGTGACCATTTCAATCATAAAGGACCACCGTTATTTAGTGACAGCTAGAAATATTTAGGGAAATGTCAGATTTATTGTACAGCAAACTTATGGGAATGTTTTTATACCAGGCAACATCTTGGCGAGGGTGAAGAGGGTAGAGTCATTGGCCACAAAGCAGGAGGTGAAGAGCAGCGCAGCGTCCTTCTTGTGGAGGTCGGCCAGTTCTTGTTCCAGCTCCACATGGAATTTACTGGTCCCAGAAATGTTTCTGGTGCCTCCGGCCCCCGACCCATGTTTTCGTAAAGTGTCCCTGGAAAAGGAGGAAAGAACATTGTTGTTGTCCCATTTTTCTGAGGCATCACTTGGAAGATGGTTTACACTTTAAAGTCAGATGTAGATTTGAGAAAGGGTAACTGGTGGAAATTTTTAGATTAAGCACAGGAGATGCTGAGTAATTGACACCATGATTATAGAAACGGTGTTACTGCTGCACAGGGAATATGATCTGAGCAAGTTCAAGCAAGCTGTGAGAAAAACAAAACACCCTCACTGGGGCCTATGGGGTGTAGATGTGAACTATAACCACACAAACAACAGACTGGGTGTCAGGTTGTATTCAATTATTAGGTGTTGTGTCTCCTATCAGGTTCTTCCTGTCTGCACTCTCAGTGGGACGAAAGGTAAAAGGCAACAGGTTTTTCCATTACATATCAACCCATCTTAACCCAAGGGACTGTTTCGGGTGTATTTTTCCCTGCATCACAAAAACAAACAAGCCCCCACCCCAAATACTCACATGATTGACTGCACGACCCGAGGGTGTCGACTCATGCCCAGGTAGTCGTTGCTGCACCACACAGACACCTCCCTCTTTTCCGCAAGAGAGCCAGTGAAGTCGTCGGCCATGGGGAACTCATTGGCCAGGCGATTCACTGTCTTAAACACGCGATATGTGTGGTCACTCTTCTTCTCATCGATCTTCTTCTCAAAAAATTCATCATAATGGAAGCGGGACACTGTGAGAACAGGAAAAAGTGATGACAATTTTTGTTTATCTAATTCAAGAGGCACCAAAACATACAAACAATTTTAAATATTGAATAGAAAATATAGCCCTTGGACGAGTGGGTTTGGTAAACAAACCTCCCTGCCTAACAAACGGGTCTGTGTCAATATCTTTCCATTATGACATGGTAAAACCCCTACATAGAACTTACAACTTCCTGGCAAGTTGTCCTGGAGCAAGTGGGAGACCCTTTTAGGTCTCTGTTTCAAAAGGGTCTTCATTATGTCAGTCGGCTCCCCTCCAGTGCCCTGCATAGTGCTGGCCAAGGATGGCTTCTTCAGCGGATTATGGGAAACTTCTAAATAAAAAAAAAACAGAAGAGTATTAAATACTGACGAAAGTATTGAGTAAAACAGCATAGTCCAATAAATCTCTTAACAACTCTTACCTTTCTGGACAGTGCGGACTTCCTGAACATCCTCCTGGAACTCCATGCCAACCTGGCGGACCACACTGCTGTTTTTCTGGCCCATCTCAGCAGCCAGGAAAGGGCATTTGGAGGCCACAGCTTGGCCTGGGGGTGGCATGGGGTGACCAGCAGGCCGGTTGGGCTCCGCCTCTTGTTTGGGGCCTGCAAATTGACAAAAATAAGTTAAAACTTTATAAAACTTAGGGTTTATCTAAACTTACAACCTAAAAACAATAGTCAGCAATAATCTATTTATTATATTAACTTGGATAATTCACTACTTTACACATAATGCAACTACATTGTAATAATGCTAAATACCTTCGACAGCAGACGTGGTGTCCTCAGTCCTGTGGTTGGAGGAGGATGAGCAGAGGGCCCGTACCATCGCAGGAGCCATAGGCTTTGAGGCCAGCTCCATCATGATAGGGCATCGCTGGGCATACACAACCAGAGATGTCTTGGACTGCTGGAGAAATGCCTGGGGCACACGAGCCAGGAACGGACAGCGGCGCAAAATTACATCCATAGTCGGCAGTCGTGATGATTGTCCAGAGATCTGAATGAGATAGTTTTAAGATTATTTCAAGTAGTAAAAAATACTTTCCTACGGGCTCAAATGAAGGACGGGGCAATAAAACAATTTTATTTAAAAAATAATTTTTCACCAAAGGCAAAATAGCACAAGTCAAATACATATTTAAATAATGCTTATGCATTGGGCAAGCACAGTCATTACACATGAATGATGTACCTCGGGGTCCTGCTCATACAGAAGAGTTAAAAACTACAACCTTAAAAAAACCTCTTTAACTTTAGAAGAAATTAACATATGATTAATAACAATATCGACCGATATGAGAACTTTAATCTAAGTCCAAACACACTATACAAAGAGATTGTGTTGCTAAGGATTAATAAGAAATCATGATTAATGCATTTTCAGAATAGTTCTGTGGCTTAGTGAATACCAGTTTAGGTCACGTATCCATTAACACATGGAGTTCATGAATTACTACTTGCTGCAACAAGTGTGTGATCATTACGGTGTAAAAAGCACGTTACAGATTAAGTGTGATTGCGTAAAAATGGAAATTTACGAGGCTTACGTAGTGTTTTACCCTTCCCCCAGTTGGAGCCAGGTCCACACATTCCTCGACAGACTAATCACACAAGCACTTTTTCCCCTTTTTCAAGTTATAAGACAATGTTTGAGGACTAGTAATAAAAATAAAACGTAGACACAAACCAGTTTAATCCCTTTAAACTAGAGCCAATAAGAAAACCAAACAGCTCGAGGCTCATTTTAATCATATTTTCCTTCCTCTAATTCGACCCATGTGTTTCGCTTTAGACTGTATCCTGTCACATTTTATGTAACCTTCATTATCAAAGGTGTCGTTTCATCCTCACAACAACAACCGAAGCTTTAAAGGCAGCTCGGTCTCTGTGGTTATAAAAAGAAGTATCAGTCACGTTCACCAGCGAGTTGGCTCTGACGCGCTGTTACGCACAAGGAGAACTGGAGTCACGACTCGTCTGTTTCATCACAACGAGAAGCATAAAAAAAACCACACATTTAAAGTTCCATTGTTGTCTGGAGACCCTGGAGGAAGATGAGCCGGCGATCAGCCCGTCTCCCCCGGCTTCGCCTTAACCCGTCCCCCCCGTCTTCACCTTAACTAGTCTGCTAGCATTAGCTCCGGAAGCTACAACCAGAAGTGGAGATGAAGCGGCGATTAAGAAGGAACTTACCGGTAAAAAGAGAAATAAACCTCACAGTGCTGCTTATCGGTCGTGCAGCGGTCAAGGCAGCAGCAGTGTGTGGAGGTGTTAAAAGCACGGACTCGGGTGTGGTGGGTCTAAGGAGCCGGAGCAGCAGCTTCGTTATCCCGCACTGAGGACGAACGAAGGGGACGAGGACGCGCCTGCGCTTATATCAGCTGCGTTACCAAACTCGAGTCTCGCGAGATTCTCGTTCGAACGCGTCACAGGCACACGCAGGGAGGACAGGTCATTCCAGTTCAATTAAGATTAAAGGTCATTCCAGTTCAATTAAGATTAAATATCAATCCAGTTCAATTAAGATTAAAGATCATTCCAGTTCAATTCAGATTAAAGGTCGTTTCAGTTCAGGTGAATTAATAAAGAACAAAATAAACACCTCACAGGTATGCAACGCCTCCGGAAGAACACATGAATGAATCACTTCTTGAAACACGTTTTTATAGACTTGCTATTTCATGTGTCTTTCTGTTTGTATCTTTATCTCTCTGAATCTGTTCACGGAGTCTTGTGTGTTTGGAACTTCACCTTCAAGTTACGTCCTTTACATGGACAGCCATTGTCTTCTGCTGCCCCCTACCGATCTCTTAAGACACTTGCACAATTGGCCTCCATGTTACCTGGACGACCTGTGGCAAATTGTATTTTGTTGAAATTCACCAGAATACTTCAGTCAGACTGCATACTATATACATGTATCCTTTAATACACTATAGGGGGAATCTATAAATCTCATGTAGGCTAGTTGATTTTTTCGTTTTTCAAAATGTTTTAAATCACTCAGAAAAACAAGAAATTGATGAGAGTTATTGGGTTTTTTTTCTGTGATAAAATAAGTTGTAGACTTTAGGATGGTCCCTAGCAAGCCTATCAGGGCATTGTCAGGGTGAGTAAAACCCTAACTACACATATCATTGCTGATGTGCATTGTAGCGACTGTCAAGGAAGAAAGTAGACGGAGAATGTTATCCTATCCAAGATACTTTTTTTGGGGTTAAAGTTAAATACAAGGTCAGAGGGAGAATTTCTCCCAGCTGCTTATAATTGTGCATTGTGTGGCAACACTATGAATCATTTTCAAATTCTGCTAGAACAATAGCCTACTGTGACATCCAAATAAACTGGTGATATGCAAAACTATTCTCAGGCAACTGGTGACAAGACATGAAAAGTCTATTAAGCTATTTTAGGTGGAACGAGCTGATTTGCCTCATAACCTACATCACCGGGCTCCAAAACAACAACTATCTCCAAATAAAGTAAAACAACCTCCGTCTGCACAGATCATGTCAAAGGTTCAAAGGTTCAACTGCTGATGTCTCCACACTGAGGAGACGAGCACTGAAGCTTCCATCTCTGAGACAACCTACTACTGTGAGCAGTTCTTTTCAAAACAGACTTTTCAAAACAGACTCTTGCAAACACACAGTCTTGAGTGGTTCAGGAAGTATTGGGGGTCGTCCAGTAACCGAAAGGTCAGTGGTTAGATCCACAGCAAGTACAGTCTGCATTCTGATGTGTTCTTGGGCAAGACACTGAACTTCAAATTCCAGTGATGCCTGTTACAACATGGAAGAGTGGTGTCTGAAGTGCTGTATGAATATATTGTGAATAGGTGAATGCAACTTCTACTGTAAAGTGCACTGAGTGGTCGAAAAGACTGGAAAAGTGCTATCTATAATTTACCTAAAAACTTAAGAACCAGGTGTGAGCAACATCATCACCATCATCTTAAAACAAACACCTCACCAATGAGAAGGATAACAGAAGTTATTGTGATTATATGTGTAGTGTGGCCCTATGCGTAGGAAAAATTGTAATGGGCCCCGATAGAACAAAAGTTGTGAAGCCCAGTAAAATAAAACCACAACAAAAAGCACAAATGAAAACTTTTTCGAGTTAAAAAAGAGGTCACATGAGGGTTCTCACATGCATGCACGGCTGGAACGGTTACAAAGAGGACAGAAGCTCAGATTACAAGTTACATGTGTGACTTCACTGCTCAGAGAGCCATAAGTCTTTAACTGCTGTTTTAATGTGTAAGAGCTCATATACAGACTTAAAGTAAAACTATTACCTCTTTGTATTTTGGATGGTCAGGTAAAGCACACATATAAAGAGAGTCACCTTTGGACAGGGTCGGATAACTGAGCAACTATTCTCAGGTCCTAAATCATTGAAGGGCCTGTAGGCATCAGGTTAACTATGTGGAAATTAGTTTGAAATAAAGTATAACATGAATCTTGAAGTGGCAGCCACGTTGTTACCTTGAGGCCTGTTCTTCTACACTGACTTAAAATGTAGGTTTAAAGTATTATTATTGTACTTACATATTTACTGTTTCCGTGACTAAACAAATAGTTTTTCTTTTCTTTTCAATTAAAAACTTCAAACTAGTAATGCATACATAAAGTGTGGGAAATGTTCAGGGACACAACTAGCTACTACACAAAATACAAGGAGACACGACTAAAAAGAGACAGAAAACAAAGAAATGCAAAATGACAACAAAGTCATGCTTACATGATATAACTTTGTATGTAATCGGCCTGCTAAATCTTTTGTGTCATCCAAAAAGCTTTCTCACAGTAAGGCATAGAGTAATTTTTTTTTACCAAAATAATTATAAATTAGCAATGTAAATTAATAAATAAAGATAGATTGGAAGTTCCTTCACCACTGACCAGCAGCAGACTTCAATAACTTCCCAAAGCAGTGAACTACAGACAAGTTCATCACTTTTTTGGGTGCCCTGGAAACATTTCCATTAAACTTGCATGTGTTGTGACGTTTTGCAGCAAATTTGTTGTCTGTTTTCTTATTTTTTTCTATTTCCACGTGTTTTCTTTAATCACAGAGCCTCTCAGCCACCGTATATTGTTGTATAATGTAAAGTTCAATTAAAGAAAAAGAGAATATTGAAACAAAGTCTGGGTCCTTCCTTACAAACATTTGATCGTTAGTAAGAGATAATTCATAAATGTTACCTTTCGAATCAGAAAATGCAAAAGGACATGAACACAAACTTCTCTTTCTGTGATCAGTCTTGCGCCTTTTTTGTCATCGCTGTCTCACCAACAAATCGGTAAGTTTACTATTGATCATATTTTTGAAAGAATGTTTCAGTATTTGGTGAAAACGTGGCGTTTGGCTTTTGTTAAAGAATTAATTCGATATTCTTTTTCAGGCAGAGGTTTTCCTCCGGAGCAGCCCAACGGACCGGAGCTCCTCCTCTCGGCTCTCCGCGGAGAGACCCCCACCTTTGAGCCTGATTCCGGGATTGTCGAAGAGAAGAAATGGCGTCAGGCCTGAGCGGTGTTGTGGTGCTGGTCCTCTGTGCCTGTCTGGCCCCTCATGTGTTCGGTAAGTGAGGATTTAGGAAACTTTAAACATGTATTTATCGTCAGTTTCGTCGGTGCTGCTTCGTGAACTCGGGCATTGTGTGTTTTTCTTTAACGGTGGCGGATTCAAACGCACCATATTTAGAATCAGGGCGATGTCAGTGACGTTAGCTCCGGAGCTGAGCTGGGCTGTCCGGGGGAAGATAACCTGGAACTAATGGTTGTTTTAAAAAAAATATTAGATTGTCAACTAATTAACAACCGAACCCAGTTCTCTTCTTTTGTGACACGAAGGTTGAGAAAGAAAAACATTACAGGGTTAACCTTAAACCAATCAACTCGCTGGCAATCAGTGTTTGTGTTATTTCAAATGATCTTAAACCTTTTTTTAAAGACCTCTCATCACTTAAAGTGGAACTAATGATGTCTCGAGACTTTAATCAATCAATGATCACTCAAGAACGAAGAGAAAAGAGTTAAAAAGAGGTGATAAGTGTATTGAACAACAATAATAGAAAACAGCCTATAACGTCTGCAGCAGCCATGGAATAAACCCTGTCCTTACGAAAGTTCTAATGTTTGATTTTTATTTAGTTTTCTTTGTGTTGATTCAGCTGTGTGGTCATTGGGTTCTACTGTGCTATATTTCGTATTGAAGGTATACCACAAACTAAAGCTTCCAGCTGAGTGGACTCTGGAAATCAAGCTTCAAGAAGGGAGCCTTATTATGAGTTTTAGCTTGTTGTGCTTGTTGAAATTGTAATTTAGTGTAAACAGGGTGAACAGGTTGCTGTATTAGTATTGAGGGGAGTACAGGAAATCAACATCTGTGTATAATGCAATACAGTGGACAGCACTGACAACTACATCCTCCCTAAAAAACCACAACATTTATTCGGCATGTCTCTGAAAAAATATCTGGCGATGAATTTCTCTCCATCAGGAAGTCGTTTAATCAACTATTCATTTCAACTTTATTGGATTGTCCTTGAAAATCAAATAAAGTCCTAAATGAGCATTGAACAGCTTTGGGCAAGAGCGTGCTTCATTAATCTCTGTGTGTGTGTGTGTGTGTGTGTGTGTGTATTCTACCATCTCTGACATCTCCTTGATGGTAACGACAATAACCTTTTCTTGCCCTTCTCTTCTTTCTGTCTCTGTTCTGTTACAGCCAGCAGGGATTCAGACTGCTTGTCCTACAGAGATTTGAACAACGTGTATCACTCATACAAATCATGCTACTCTGGATTTTGCTGTGGAAACTGCCTCGACAGATACTGTTGTTACACTAATTACTTGAAGCTTTCTGAGGACCAACAAGAAGACTGGTATTGTATATTATTCTCTTCTTTATTATGAATTGTCTTTGTATTGTGTCTCTGTTACTGTGTGATCAAAGTAGAGATGTGTTGTTGCGGCTCGTTATGCACTTAAAAAACAGGAAGTAGTGTCTTCAAGCATGAAGTTGGGGTGAATCAGCTAAACCTTGCACCAGCAGTCTTTCACATTATAACTAATGCTTGCTTCACACTAGAGTAACATACTGATTTTTAATTTTTTTATGGTGAGAATGCACGGAGGATCTCTTCAAGATGCACGACCAGTCACTTGTGTTTATACAAATGTTTTCTGTGACGTTTCCAGTGACTGAAAAACAAACATGAAGCCGGATTGCTCAGGTAGCTGAGTTTGTTTGTGTAATGTCCTGTGTCAACATTAGGACACATAAAACAAGCACTCAAATTTTGTCATCCTTGTCTACACTGCACCCGGCACAGTCTTAGGCAGCCATGTTTTAGTTCTTAACACAAGGATGCAAACGCAACAGCTGTTTGGTGACGCTTCCCAGTCAGCTTGCTTTATTGGCTATTGTGGGCTTTAGCTCCCTCGCTCAGTCGCTGTTGTTTTCACAACTACTTGAGTCTTCCTGGTTTCAAGTCATCTATATCAAACATGTTCGAAATCAGGGAGGCTCAGATTCAGTCGATGACTTGAAAATTCTGACTCTCAACCCGTCAGTCTTCAGGATCATTTGGCCAGATATTCTGCTCAGATCAGCCTCAAATCAGCGACGCCCCTGCGATTGTCAGGAGAGCTGAATGGGACTCGGTGTCAGGCCGACTATTCTCTAGTTTGCAGCAGCAGGCGTAGCTGATGCATGGAGTGCTAGCTTGTGTAGCTTATACCGATGATGTAGAATTGACGTTATTCAGCATCAATCTGTAGCAGTAAAGAAATGGCAACTTGGATGTTTTTGTGATTCATTTTTCTGTTTTGTTTTTTTCCAGTCCTGTCGAGCCTATTTTGAATTTTTATTCACCGGTCCACATGATCGTTGGTATTGTCAGCCTCATCATCGCGTTGCTCGCCCTCATCTGCTGCTGTGTCTGTCCCTGCTGCTGCCTGTACAAAATGTGCCGCAAGCCACAACGTAAGTAGCCCGTCACCAACAATTCAGCCTTGAAATGGACAACAGTGAATGCTTGTTTTCTATTTGGTTTTTTTTTATACATGCACAAACATTTTTCAGTGAGGTGCTGATGAATTGTCTTTTGATTTTCTTAGCAGTGTCGATATTTACTGTGAACACCAAAACCGTTTATCTAGAGGGATGTAAGAAAGGTATAATTTTGCATGCTGCTATAGACATTATATAAAGATCAACAACATGGCTGCTCTTCAAAAGTGAAGCCAAAGTATCTTGATCGCTAACTGGTGGTTAGCTAGCTGCTGAGTCAAAATATTGAAAAAATAGGGTTGTCAGCTTCTCAAATGTAAATATTTCCATTTTTTTAAATCTGTTTTAAGAGAATTTAGTCCAAAGTGTGAGGCCCCTTCACTTTCATTTGAATGGGAAAGTTGTCTGAGCAAAGACTAGAGTCAGTGACAAACATCCATGTGCCAAAACTGAAATGATGACGATTAACAGGCAGTTAATACTCACTCACAGCTATAAGAAATACATTGACAGCTTGTAGACATGTGCTGCTACTGCAGCTGCGAAATGATGCTACACACGTGCTGGTTCACACAAGCAACATATCTCTTGAATTGCTGTCTGGATGTTGAGAGCTTCTCAATCCTACATGCAGTGTCTGATTTTTTTTCCCCCTCCATTCCAAGTCAGACTCTTGGTTTCCAGTGTGTCCGTATGAGTATTTGTCTCATTGTGGAACATGAGGGAACTCATTTGAGGTTTGTTGGCCTACCCACCACATGACTTTTATTACTGCAGTAACTAGGTCTTACTAACAACACAGACTTTGGGTACACAGAGAACAAACGGCTCTAACGTTCCTTAAATCACAACTAAATGAGACACTAGCAAAAGTTGCAAAGCAGACGTTTTTCATTCAAGTCAAGGGCTGTGAAGAAGTATCTGAGCAGACATTATGTTTTAACAACTGCTGCTGTTGGCTGTGACCACTCCTGCTTTTGAGCAACTTGCATGTTCCCACAAGAAGGTTTTTATTATTTAGACAAGACGTCAGAATCAAACTAGTCAACCTACCCCATCATTAAGGGTGACTGAAAAATCGGAAAATTACTCCCTCGAGGTTTGTAACAAAGCCTCTTTCTTACTTTCATCTACATCTCTGAGGCAGATCTTATATCTTCATTTTGTCTCTGTCCATCAAATCTCTTTCGAAGAGTTTAAGATATTAAGAAAGACATACATTAACTTTTATGTTATTTAAAGCACTTGAACGGTGTGTGTGTATTTGTGTTGGCTCTCTGTCATGTAAACCCCTGTCAGCTTGTTCACATTGTGCCATGCAGACACTGTGCTCTGGCACATGCTACACAAGCAAGTATGTGGATTCCCTGAATTGGGCTCATGCATGTTGGGATCACATCTAGGAATGTGAGAGCTCCACCTCGTTTGACTCATTGATTCCATGACAACCGCAGAGGGGAAAACCTCCCACGTCATTTACAGGAAGTGGTCGTAATGGCTCCCCCTCTCTGTGTCTCTGCTCTGTTTTGGTGGTGTGTTTATTTATATGTTTATGACTGCAGTAACATCCTTTTTCTGACTGGTGGTATATAACATAACAGAAAAACTGTGAGAATAGATTATCAAACTGAGAGACTGTTTCACATGAAAGTAAAAGACAGTTGAACTAATAAATCAAAATGAAATCTGAACACACTCTTTTCCGTTTTGTTGTCTCACTTGTCTAGTTTGCACTGGATAAACGTTGAGAACTTTTAGAGCAGAAATTTAAATGAAACGGAAAAAGCGTGCAATAATTTTAGAAATGCTGAATTTTGTTAACATTAATAGGACAGTACTTGTTTTTTTTACTCTCTTGCTGACTTGATACAGGACTTCTGTGGGGTCTTAAGATTCCAAAACTCAATCATTTGAATTTAAGGCCTTAATATTTGTAGCTGTTGTTTTTTTTAAGTGTACTTCTTTCTCATAGCTACAGATTTAAACACGTGGAACTAATAACTAATAGTCTACAAATACCCCGGTCAGAACTGATCTCAGTGCACCCATTTGGGCTGTGGGAAAGACCATGGATACATACTGATGTACATGTACTTTGCAAGATAATTTGGTGTTTTTGGGGGCAATTCTCTACTAGGCTAATTCTGGGACTGATATTCCTTTATATCTGTTGTACTTGACATCGGTCTTAAAATTCAGCTGAAGTTCTCTTTATTTTCTTGTAAATATTTGTACTTCCCATTTTGTATGAGTAGATCTGACCACCACTGTTGGAGTGGGGGTAATTCTCTGAAAATCAAATGCTGGTCAGTCTAGTGACATCATTTATCACAGTGTTGTTCAAACTCTTTATTAGGGGATAGTTTTAGTCTGTCAGCCCCAGTGATCTTTTTAAGCCTGCATATATTTCCAAAATGTTTGTCCTCACCTGTTGCTGCTTTGACTTTGCTTACAGCTGTGATAGCTACTACCACCCACACAACACTGGTCACCAGTACTCCTCAGAATTACCCTCAACAGCAGACTGCAACACCCAGCCATCCTCAGTCCTACCAGGGGCCCCAGTACCAGCCCTACCAGCCCGTACCAGTGCAGCCAGGATATGGCAACCAGCCCACGCCCCATGCGTATGGAGCTCAACCCATGCCCTCAACAACCTACCAGGGTCAGCCATTCACACCAGGGCCACCTCCAACATATCAGGAAGCCAGTGAGTGTTTATTTTTGATGACCTAGATAAAATGAGACAGGTATGATTGTGACAACAGCCTGTTGTCCTGGTAAAGACGTTGTCCTGTTTAAACATAAGCAAAAACAATGATGAAAACTATTAATTGATAAGATAAAGAAAAAAATTACCTTTGAAAACAAGAAGAAAAGTGAAAAGTTATACATTTTCCTATTTAAAAAACAAAACAAAAAAACAGACGGCCTCTTCTTCAGTAGCTGCTCAACCTTCTACATAAATGGGCAGCATCATGCATTCAGTAACAAAATTCCCCTGCCTGTAATGTTACCCAACATGAAAGTGTTTTTGGATTACAGAGAAGAGTGGCATGGTGTGGCAAATTGGCCTTTTTGTGAAATGACTCAATACATAGGCTCCACCTACAGTATGAATGAAGACCTACTCCTCAACTCTTTTAGAGGTGGCCACATCCTGGCTTTTCTGATGTTGCAAATGATGGGAAAAAAATGAAACTCATGTTCCTCAGTTAAAACACATTTGTTTTTTATGATCGCTGTCTGTTTGCGATTTTAAGACGGCAGTTTTTCTCAAACGGGGAATGGACAGAAAGAGAGTTTTAGGATTAAAATTCTCATTACACAAAGTTGGTGATTGTATAGTGTTTTAGTAACGCACAGCATGCTATAGGAAAGCAGTCTTTATCACAAGGAAATGACACATTACAGTAAACTCATTCTGCAATTTCGTTTCCTAAATAGCTGAATTCGGAAGCAGAGGTGGAATAACTGCTGCTGGTTTACAGTTAGTCATGTCTGGACTTTGTAAAATAGGAAATTACACATTTATGGTGACTTCTCTGGGCAAAACTGAACTTGTGGTTACTATATAAGCATTTTCAACCCCTTCATTCTTATGTCTTGTTTCCTTTTTCTGTGCAGCCTGTCCCGCATACCCTCCCAACCCGATGCCTTACAGCCAGGCTGCGTTCTCCCCCAGCCAGCCAGCGTACCCTCTACAGCCTCCTGCCACGCAGGGGCCCGCGGCTCCACCCGCCAACACAGACTTCCATATGCAGCCTGCATACAACCCAGAATATATCGCACCCAGGACTGGATAACGGACCACAGTGCCACAATCTCAGCCACTTTAAACATGCTGCAGCATTTAGGAACTTTGCATAATTTGAAATGTGCGATCTGAACCAAGATGACAGTTGTTCCAGAGGGTCTTCATCCATGTGTTAATATGGGAATTTGTCGTTGTAGAAGAGTAACCATGTGAAAATGTTGACGCGTCTTTCCTCGTATTGCATGGACTTGATATAGAAGTGGTGAGATTACTTTTTTATTTTTTTTATTTCTCAATGGCTCCAACTTAGTCATCTTAGTGAATTAAACATAAAACCACTGAGTCTGATTGAAAAAAGTATATGAAGTGCTTTGTAATTTTTCCAGCCTTCTCAACAGGCCTCAACATCTCCCTGGTCTGTGACGTGCACCGACTGAAACTGCTCAACCTCTTTAATCCAACATCCTCAGTTATATCCGTCACATTCAAATATGGGAGAAGTTTTTATGTCTTTTGCCATGACCTCACTGCAGACCGATAAATTGCTTTAAGCCTTTCTTTCCTCATGTACTTTCTCTGGTGTTTGGTAGATGTGTAATGCTTTATATATGTTAGTACAGCGTACTGACCATAAAATATGTATTATTTCTCACTGGAGGACGTAGAAAAGAAACATGTCATTGTCAATTACCGATATTCAGAGGTTTCAGGGTTGTTGTTTAACTGCTTCACAAAAGGGAACATTCATCATACAAAAATAAGCCTTGCTCACAAGGGAGGTCAACTTTACATTGAACCCTTATGTGTTTTTATGTCTCAAGTTATTTTAAATCATTTTAGTTTGCTCATCTTACGGCCGTGCACGTCTAACTGAGGTAAAATGCTTTGACAGCTTTGACTCAATCAACCAAACATTCATAAAAGCTATTCTGCGAAACTCAAGCAGCAACTGTGCCTTCTTAGCCATATGACCTTTATCAAACAACAGTGTGCATGTCATAAAGAACATGTTAAAAGTCAAATTTTCTATTTATTCTGGAGTGTTTGGTTTGCTTTTTCTGTTACTGTTCTGTTACTTGTACCTAATTGTCCTCATAAAGGCTTCAATTTAAAAAAACTGGCAATGTTTTGCAGTGTATCATGTTCAACATGTACTTTAAAGTCATGAAGCCTTTCTGCTCCTTTACTTACAAACCAAACTGTTTTTATTACTTTTTATATTTAGTGTTCTATTATTTACCCACGTCACATCAGTTTTAAGCTGTTTTCTCACCATAGATTTTATTTTATAGTACCAATGTTACAGTGAGGATTTTAGAGTCATTTTTTTATTGTTTAGATCTAAAAAACTAAACTAAAAAAAGGCCTTTCTTGCTTTGTCCCTTTGTTTTCATTTGTGTTTTGCAGTGAAGCCGCCTCTTCTGCTTTCTGCCTACTGAAATGACTTGAAAATAGTTTTGACTAAAGTGACCTTTTTTCTTGTAAGAAGTCACAGCTCATGTGACAGACCAGATGCCTGACTTTTCAACTTTTTACTTTTGATTGTGGTCAAAGAAAGTAGTAGAATTCCATAATATGTTCGTATCACAGGTATTTTTCTTCAGAATGTCACATCTATGCTGTGGCCAGACATATCCAAAGTAGTATTTGTGGAGAATGTGCTTGTTCCCTCCTCGACCAATCATTTTGCCTGTATTTCATCATAGACTCAACTTTTGTTTCAAGTCTGTGAACTTCGTCCTTTGGCCAGTGTTGATTCTGCAATTTGACTCTTTTGTATTTGTGAATTATAGCCATTCTTGTTCCATCTGTTTCCCACTGAAGAATAATTGCCATTGATGCAACTTTGAGAATATATGTATGACTTTTATTTTGTTTAAAAAAAACTGCTTATCCTGCAGAGTTCAATAAAATATATATTTTCTGCTTCCCCCAACTTTGATCATTGAATTTTCAGCATATAACAGAAAGTGGATTTGTGTCAAGTATAACACTATAACAAATAAAAGGACGCTACTGAACTGAGAGATTTGATCTGAAATTGAGGGAATTAATTACTCTCACATTAATGCCACAAATTAACTTTTCGACCAGGATTCATCTAACGGCTCTGTAGTTTAAGATTCATTGATTGATGGATACATGTAGATACTTTATTGATCCAGATTTAGGAATCCAGCTGCTTTTAGGACTGTTACAAAGAAATGCAACATAAACATAAAATAATGTATATTATCTTAAAAATACAAAATATAAACCAACATAAAGCTAAAAATTAGACAAACTTAAAACCAGAAACAAAAATGCAAACACTGTGTAAATAAAAAAGAGAAACATGAATATATATGAAAACAAAGCAAACATACAGTACTTTGTAATTAAGTGATAATTATAGAGGCAATGATTAATCAAGTATTCTAATTTATTAAGACAGTATATGAAGAATAAAGCGGACACATGGGATTCAGTGCTTGAATTAGAGGAGAGTGGGTGAGGCAGGTGAGACATTTGGGTTGAGTTACTTCACCCTATTGCTTCATTTCACAGGAAGAGAAACTGAAATATTCAAATGAGTTTCCACTGAATGAGTTGCTTTCAGTTTCACGTCTTCAGATCATTTTATTTAGCAAAAAGGACAAAGTTAAATGAAAATTAAATTAAAGTCTATAAAAAAACAAGAGGGTTAGGTCGGTTGTACATTATTTTATTGCAACATTGGCCGTTGGAACGAACTCTCCAGCGTGTCTTTCACATGAACTGAGGAATGCTGTTGGGTCACTTGCTACAGGGTGGTACAGGCAGACAGGCTGCATGGTTATCTCAGTCAGAGTATTGCAGTTATGGTTTCAACTGTCTTGTCCAGTCGTGTGTGTATTTTGTGTTTGACCCTGCTCCCGTCTGTATGGGGTGAGTTCTCTTTTGATATTTATTCAGGTTGTGTCAGGTATTAGGACTCTTCATTTATAGATATTCACCGAGTGAAAATGATCCAGTGAAGCAACGTGAAATAATAATCGGGTGCCACACTTTTGTGATCACACCTGTTTTGAGCTTCTATTCACATGTACTGTATGTAAATGAAAGTTGTGGAGTTGTTGTTCTGTAACTATGTAATCTCTCACTCTCAACACCCGTGTATCTTTCAGCTACTTTGTGTAGAAGCTACTGGGACAGGGATGGTGTCTACCATAAAATTCAGCTATGTGGTTTGTGGTACTGTTGTGGAGACTGTACCACAAGATACTGCTGCAGTGGACTAGAAAGCAACCTTCTCACACTAGAGCAACAAGGAGGCTGTAGCCGCAGGTGTGTTATTTTACATGAGTGTCTCTTTTTGATAAAACGATTTTAAAAGTTTTTCAGTTCACTGGCTACTCTGAGTATTAACCCTTTCATGAATAATGACAGCCTCAGTCTGGATTTTTTTCTATAGGCTTTTACTCCTCTTTAGGCATTTAACAGCTTTTCCATGCATTTTTGTATTTACTTGAAGAAACATGTACCTAACTGGACGGATACCCATGCATATGCTGTAAAATATCTTTTCAATAGCTGTCCTCTGAAGTGACCTCTATGTGTCAAAGGTTTAAAAAAAAGATCAAATTCATTCAGTAGAAGTGTGAAAGTAACACTCAACCTTGCTGCAGTCCTTGGAGTCGCCTTTGCATGTCTTGCTGGAGTCCTGTGTTTGGTTCTCATCATCTACTTGATTTACAAAAAGTGTCGAAAGAGGCGCAACCAAAGTAAGACCACTCTTTTTGTTTGAGTTTACTCTGTGCAGGCAACTACACAGTAAAACTTTATAATGTACTGACTGTGCTGCTGTTTACTATAGACTGTATCTAAAGATGAGTCACATTACTGCACCCCAAAAGTGGCTGGCTGTGGTACATGTCATAATCCTCCTCCATGTTAGTGGATTAAATATGGAGTTGTTAAATACATTTTACTCAAAGATGGTAACTGTCATTTTGGTAGTTCTTACCACACTAATGCATGTTCAGCTTTTTTATTCAAATGTTTGATGTCTATTGGCATGAGACATGAGTAAGATGGCAGCATTCGTTTCTTATTTTAGCTTTATTTCTGGATAGTGAGCAGAAGTGGAGAGGTGTCATCCATCTTTGAATAGAGTCTATGGTGACTACAGTTACAGTTAAGGAAAAGTTCAACATTTTGGGAAATACTACATGAAATGTTTGATTCCACTTCCTGTATGCTAAGCTAAATATGACGTTTAACCCAATGGCTGTAGGTGCTTACATTACATGCTGCCTATTTTAGGAGAAGCGGTTAATGTCAATCCTTGACTTGGATCAGTTGCTCAACCAGTGTGGATGAATAAACTTTCAGTGGCAAGAAAGCAGTTATAGTTGTGTGTTTCCCAAAATGTTGAATCTCTCCAACAAATGACAATGTGTCTCAGTTTACTCTATTGTCAAACTAAATCAATGACTTCACCTGTAGCTGTGGCAACCACCACCTATGTAGCCAACGTACCTGGGCAGCCACACCCCCCTTATCAGTACTACCCAGGCTACCAGCCTGTACCTGCCCTGCATGGATATGGAGGCCTGCCTGTACCCACAGCACCACCACATTCATACATGGAAGCAAGTGAGTGCTGTTTGATTCCCATTAATGAGTCAGTGTTGGTGTTGCTTATAAAGGCCTGGTAATATAGTATATTTTTGCACGGTCAACACACACGCACACACACAAACACACACACACACAACCAGAAATAAATTGATCCAGCTAACATCTAGTGCCTGTGTAACTTAAGCCTGTTATATCCATTATCACCTTTTTAAATATTATCCAAAAACTATTAAAAACACACCAGTGCCATGTTCCACCATCACCACCGTAGATTATTTTAAATCAATCTCACTCAAACATTCTACTGTAAAGACTCACTAATGCTAATATGATTAATCTGCATTTTAAAATAATCCCAAACAAATTCACTATTTATTGCTGATGGACTAATATTTTCCAAAAACTACAGTGCCCTGGTGTTTAGGGTCATTTTTAAAACTGATTTATAGATTAACATCTACAGGAGAATAGAAGGTTTACTGACACTGTAGGGAAGTATTGGCTATGTTGACAATAGCAAGAATAAAGAATAACAACACCCTTCTCCTTTCATGATTTTTTTATTATCATGATTGTTACAGAACAAAAAAATGAATCCATTTTTAGCAGGCTAACAATTCACCAACTGTGTATTTTTGCCTCTTTAGCTCATCCAGCTCACTTTCCAGTTCCATCTCCTCTGGGACACCCGATGAACCCCCTTTATTCTCCTGGCGAGTCTTATCCACCACCGCCACCATATTCAGACGACATGGCACATCCACCCTACAACCCATCGTACGGCCCAATGGGAGCTGAACCAAAGAGTTAACCAGATAAACAGACGCATGGGGACTGCAGCACCTTTCTCATGGGAGTGTGTGAGTGGATGTGTGTATTAGAGCTGCGATAACATATTCAAGTTAAATATATTCAATTGGAGTAAAAGTGCAATTTAACTACCAGAAATCTTTGCTGCATATTGCTGCACCTTTTTGTCTGTGTACCCCTTATTATAATTATCCAGAAACTATATTTGTTCAGCAGCGTCAAATTTTAAAATATGATAATGTTTGTATTTTAGTGTTGAATGTATAAAAAAATATATTTCAAGAGAGATATAAGTATCAAACACACACTTCAAGTCAGATGAAGAGCATTGTCAAGGCAAGATAATTATTTATCAGTAATACCCAGATTCATTCATATTGCTTGACAAATATTATTAGAATCATAATTAAAAGTGATGCCCTGAAGTATAGATTCTCTCAGTTGACCTACGATTCCATTTCACCTTTTTTTAATGAACTCAAACTACCACTAGAGGTCGCCACCACCCCACGTTTGTACAGAGAAGCCGCTACACAGGATTGCAAGTTTATATCAAATGAAACTATGATTCTGACAAAATACATTTCTTATTTCTTCTTGCAATGATCCAGGATCAAAATCCCTGGTGACTTCATTGCAACCACCTGATGTACAGGGGAACATGGTTTACTGCTCTGTTTCAACTTTAGGAGGATAATTATCTTAAACCTTTTATCGCTTTAAATTGTGCAATCTTTCAAGACTGATGCAGGACTTACACTGGATGAAACTGCAGCACAGCAAAAGAAAGCCACATAGGCACCAACGACACTCTCTGTGTTGTGTAACCTACAACATCTCCAGAGATAGTTAAGTATACGTTTTGTTTACTCAGCCCAAGTACATAGAGTGAATTATTAAAACGTACTTTTTATCCTGTCGTCCTGAGTCCACTTCAGTTGTGTGATTGTACATTATGGAGCAGTTGCAGTTACGATTATATGAGGTTGATAATGACTCTGGTGATTATGGCTCGCTTCTGGTGTCCTATTCACACGATGTTTAAGCTCATTTAAAATAACTGCAGAACAGTTTTCTAAAAGTTCTTGTCTCTTTCATAAAGATTCTGCTGATGTACTTAATGAACAAGTAGGCCTTTCTTTTTTAACAGTGGACATTTTTATTCAGTTGGAACACTGACCTTTTCTGAGACGTCACTGAGCCAGGGTGCACAATACAAGAGACATGACAGAGGTTTAAGTCTTGAGTCATCTGAAATGTGTTTCCCACTGCTGGCATGTATCGGTGATAAAGGGTACTGAGAGTGAATATTCTTTACCAATTGAGCATTGGTGAAGCTGCTGTTAAAGTAAGTTAAAGGTTTTACTAGAATGGCAACTTGTGAGAATAAAGAACAAATATATAAGTGTGAGAATGAGGTGTTTCCATTTATTCTCTTTAACATCTGATATATTTCCTCTATTCATAAATACTTAAATATTTAATGATTTCTTCCTTTTTAATGTCCAATTGTAATTCATGTGTTTTCTCTTGTTTTCCTCCACTGTACAAGTACAAGTTTGAACTGAACAGTATTGTGATATTTCATGTATACAACAAATGTACACAAATGTATAATCAGAACACAACATCGATTGAAGCTTTGCAGTTTTGGACACATGGAAACAGAGTTTTTTTCACGCCGTAAAAGCAAATTTATTTTCTAACAGTGCATCAAAGCAGTGGAGAAACTCTGTAATCTATAAGCTTACTTCATAAATCATCTTATAATGAAGTCAGTGTTTGTTATATGATCCATAATGTTGTATAGTTTTACCAACAAAAAGCCACTCTGGGATCATGTGCGGTTGAACAGCCAGAGTGGCCATGCTTGCATTTAATTCCATAATAACTCAGGCCACTCCCTCTTATAGCATCCCCCCTCTATATCCATTAATCAATACAGTAATTGTGCTGACTGCGGCTATTTCAGTCATCGACGTGACTGGGCTCCAAACGGGAAAAATGACCCTGCCCATATGTGCTGCTGCCGCCTGCCTGTCATCTAAAATAAGCTCTCTCCTTGAAGTGTGGCTCAAACTGCTAATGAGCACGATGGTGTAGAGATACCAGAGTCATGGCCAGCGTGGCAGAAAATCTTTACATCCCACCATCGCTGTTTTCTTCTTCTACCCACATCTCTTTCTTACTCTCTCTTCTCTCCTTCTCTATCTCTCCTACTTGTCCTCTGTCTGCAGGCATTCTTTTTCTGGCCTCCAGCCCGAGCAGCCATTAAGATATTTTCAGCATTTTCTCGGCATCCCACTCCATTCCTTTTCTTCTGCTTGGAGGAAACCTCTGTGGTATTTACAGAATATCTCACATCCGGGCATACAGACAATGGACAAGGAACACACTGTGTTATTGGACATCAGTCTAAAATCGACTTTTTGATCGGATTCAGGGCTCTGCCGTGGTGAATTATATGTGGGAGAGGAACAACTCCCCAGTGTTTCTCTGGCCATGATGCTGCAAAGAGATGGAGACTTCCTGAATTTTCTTTCATGCATGGAAACACAATCAGACATGCAGCCATTATTTATATCTGAATATTTTAAAATCTTTTCCCCCAATAAATAAACCTGATAACAAGTTTCAGTCACAAAAGATTGAACTTCTGAGGGTTGTTTTGATTTATATGCTACAACAGCTTGTGCAGATATTCATGGTCCCCAGTGGATGAATCCTAAAGACTTTTATAAGCTCCTGAATTTCCTTTTTTTGACATTAGGCACATGTTTGTGGTTTTTGATAAAGTGAATGTAAGTAAATTGTCTATTGAGCTAAACTAATTCATTAAATAAATTAATGAACTAATTCATTTGATGCAGACAAAAATATCATGGACAGATTTTCACTATGGTGAATAAAGATAAAAACTCTGGGCTGTTTTTAAAATACCACGTAAGAACAGTAGGGGGCAGACACCAGAGGCTGGTTCATGATGCCACCCTGATCACATGAGGAGTTCAACCTCGTCCTTCCTGGAACCTAGTGAGTGGAGACATTCAGGACAAGACACTCATCTTATGTCAGGTAATCCTCCTAAATGTGTTTTGGTCAACACTCTAACTAAGTTCATTCAGGTTTAATAATTATCTAACGCCATGTTCCCCACATTGCTCTGTAATTAATGTAAAATCTTTGAGCCTTCATTTGGATTTTCCAGTAACCATTCAGCCACCTGGGATCACTTGAATAATAGATATATTGATCGAGCACTTGTAGCAACAAGAACACGAATGAAAACCTTTAAATGAAAATCTCAGCTGCCAAATTGGAAGATTACGAAGATTTTTGATAATATGGCTTTTGGTCTTTTATTACAACATTCTCTAAAAGACTATGTGAGAAAAATATATTGGATATATTCGACCTGGGCAGGCTCTAGTGATTGTTTTTTAAGTCACTTCCCCCTTGACGACTTAAAACCACAGTCAACTCGTTCATAAGAGAGTCACCAGAAGCTGCTGGGGTTAGACCCTCCTGAAAACCCTGTACACTAAATATTTCACCTGTTTGTGTCAGTGCAACTGTTGAGTGTGAGGTTTATAGTGTGGAACAGTTGAGGTGACTCACTGACAGCTGCACGCAGTTCGACTCAAGAGAAACCAAAAAAAATCAGCTGGTTAAACCGGAGCAGCTGTGGATGGCGCTCATGGAGACAATGCAGAGAGTCTGTAAGTGAGACCGGTACTGTGCTGTTTGAGCTATTATCTAAGATAAGACACGTCATTCATTTCAGATCAGATGATATTGCTTCATCATAATCCTGCAATTTTCCTGATTATGTCTGTTTAAACCTCTCTCTGTCACAGCTCATCCATTTCTCCCCCTCCGCCTTTAGAGAAAAGGTCTGTAATAAAGTTTCCCGGGTCACTGTGCACATTTCGGCCCCTTTTGTCTCCCACATTCATTCCAGATCGCTGCCACCAGAAGTCAGATATCAGGCCTTCCAAGCTCCAGAGTCCTGCAGTACAAAAAAAAAAACAACCTGTCTATTCAGTTGCTTTCTAACTTCCAGGTTTGTCCCTCTTTGTGTCTCCTCAGATCCACAAGCACCTGCAGCAACCAGTGGCCTCAGAAGGAGCTTTGCAGTTTGGAGCCGTGTGAACTCCGCAGATAAAACAGTCTGCTGTCTTTTCACCCTCTCTCCCTCTTCTTTATTCAATAGCCTCCAAGTATCTTGACAACCTTGCCTGGTATTTTGGCAGCAGTCCCTTGAGTGTTGATGTCAGCTGAGAGAAGGAGAGGGAGGGAGGGATGGAGGGTGGGGGAGGCTGAAAGAGAGAGAGGGGAGGGGGAGGAGGAGTGAGCGGGCTATTCAAGGCACTTGTCCTCTGTCTCCCTGTGAGCATAGAGGAGGGGGGGAGGCGCACATGCACTAGGGAGAAACACACTCACACACATACTAGCGGCAGCCACATTTTCACAGCCTGCTCTCCAGACTGACAGCAGCAAACGGAGTGGAGAGCCAGCACGGCTGAGCGAGGGAGGACTGGAAACAAGGGAGAGGGAAGGAGGGAAAGGACACTCACGAGGGATTTGCCCCCTTATTTCTCCTTTGTGCTTCCTCTTGAGCTGAACTTTGCTTTGCTGAAGGACCTGCACCCAGCTATGGCAGCACTGGTGGGACGTGGGAACACCGTCTCCCTCTCATCTTGCTCCTCTCATGGCTGGACTACCCTCCTCTGGCTGCTGTTGACCCTCACAAGCCAAGTGTGGGGCTTCAACCTGGATACGACCCACACTCTGCACAAGTTGGGAGACCACGGCACCTTCTTTGGTTTCTCTCTAGCACTCCACCAGCAGCTTACCCCTGAGCCTCAGAGCTGGTGAGTGGGGCGGATGTGGCATTGAATGTGTGTCCTGTGTGATTTTTGACTTTTTGGGTTACACACTCACTTTAAATGTGTGATATCATGTATCAGCACCTGCTCCTACACAAACAATTCAAAATGCTCCTAATAACATGAATTTTCACTGTAAAAGCTGGTTTTGTTTTGGCTGTGTGGCCACTACAGTCAGCATTTCTGTGCTGCACCAATTCTTGGATCTGCCACAGTCATAACTCTGAGCTGGATGCAGGAGTTTTAGCATGTTTATGTGAGCCACGTACAGAGAGAGAGAGGGAGCAGCCTGAGCTCTGAGTTAATAGATGATGATTTACAGTAAGTGGATGAGAGAAGCTTTGCTGAATCAGCTGGAGGGGCAGTGATTTCTGTAAAAGGGAGAAAAAGATTGAGCAGCTCAGATCTGGTGCTGAAGATCCTCAGATGGAACGAAGAGAGGAAGGAGACTCTAAAGTGTCCCACAGTGTGTGTGTGTGTGTGTGTGTGTGTGTGTGTGTACATGTGTTGGCTGACTGAGGCATGTTTGTTTGCTTGTCCATGTGATTGTCCCCTGCTCTCTGATCTACTCTTCGCCAACAGCTATTTTGATGTGTTTTTCAGTGTGACTGGAACAAGTCCTCCGGAAATTAGGAATAAATTATAACAATAAATCTGCTTGTAGATGTTTAGAAGTGTTAACTGTGGGGCTGAAAATAAGAGGTTGACCTTATTTTACCTCAAACATTTGTAACTGATAGTGGAGGAAGGGATGGAGATATTTCGGACGATGTTCTACAGAAAATAATTCCGTAATTGGCCCACATCAATAACACATAGGCCTGTGTCGGCATCACACATGAGGCATAAACCCATTGCGTAGATACATACTGTTTATACATATGTATAATATTCTAACAAGTGATGGAAGAAATTGTCTGATCCTTTAACACATTCCATTACAATTAAATAGCAAAGTATCATAAGTCCAGTCTATTGGACAGTAAAATGGCCCC